ACAACCCTAGCCGAGGAGTACAAAAATGCTATTCGACATGACGCCGAAGAATAGTTAAATTCGAGTATAGGGTCTCTAAAATATCGTCTTTTTTTCCGTCTTTTCCTGCATTAATACGTTTTTAGAGTTAATTACGATAAAAGTAGTGCTTTTTGAACTCCATTATTGCAAATGCGAGGTTACCTTGCGTAACAAAAAACATTTTTGACAAATTTCATTTTTTCTAGAGCAGCAGTCACGTTTAAATTCTTATATGAAACAAATGAACAAAGAAATAAATTTTTAAATGAAAATGACAATGAAATGCAAATAAAAAACAAATAAAAAAACAAATGATTCTTATATGAAACAAACAAATGAATTTTTAAATTTTAAAAAAACTCATGAATCTAAGTGAAAAATAACTGTGGATTTTAAATATCTAAACGAAAGAACTGTAAACTCTTTTGGTTTTTGAGAAAATCATCCTTTTATAAAGCACAACACTATACCGTATTTTCTCTAATAGTAGTGCACCCCGGCGAGCCGAGTTGATGACTATTTTACGGTTTCCAAGCTTTTGCAGAAGCTCAACACTCGAATCCCCCACTAGGTCGCATCGTCAGCTACATTTTCCGATCCCACATCGATAGGTTCTGATCAGCGGTTGTCGAGATTTCTAGGAATTTAGTCGAAGCGGTGCACTACTATTAGAAAAGTCTAAAGTTTGTCTGTTTTTTGGAAAAAGGTCACCGTATTTTCCATAGTCGAGCCGAGTTAATGCCTATTTTACAGTTTCCAAGTTTTGCCAGAAGCTCAACACTCTAATCGCCCACTAGATCTCATCGTCAGCTACATTTTCCGACCCCACATCGATAGGTTCTGATAAGCGGTTCTCGAGATTTCTAGGAATTGAGTCGAAGCGGTGCACTACTATTAGAGAAAATACGGTATACAGTATTTTTCTTTTTACGTTTATAAGCTGTTCAAGTTTCACATTTCTGGTTAAGCTAAACGACTCAGCAACAGGTTCGTTGAAATGTTATTGACAATGAATATCATGATACTTTTTGAGATTTCACCAACACTGTCTAGTAATTTGTCGAAATTTGAGATGATTTCAGGCGAAAGGTAAACTAGTTATTGAGTGAATAAAGGAGAGCATTCCCGTCTTGACCTCGATTCTCCAACTCTACTCGAATCCCCCTTCATCCCCAATCCAACAACCCTTTTCCTTCGCCCTTTTCAGCCTCAATAACAACACCTAATTTCTGAAATCACTTTTCCTCTTTTTCCTTTCCCACTCATCTTACTCCAACTTCAGGAATTGATTTGTCCTCTTCAAGCACAAATTTTGACCTCAAAATTTGAAGCTAAAAAAAATGAGAAAACAGTTCGAATGATCTCTGTTTGTCTTTTTTTATTTGCTAGTGAATTTTCTTGTCGTTTGCCTAATGTGAGATGTTTGTTCTGCTCTCGGGAATCACGAACCCGTCGATGCCCTTGCAAATGATCAGAAAAGAAGGCTTCGATCGGGGGTACACATAAGCATTTCATCTCCGCTTCCCCCCTCCACTCCTTGTCATCCCTTTTCTGTGTTCTTCGCCAATTCGTTTTTTTTTCCTTCCCCCCTTCCCCCAAAATGACCCCTTTCTCCCCTGTTCTTTCCAAATCTGGATCTCATTCCACTTGCTCGGTTTTTTTTCGGCTGATATTCCCACTTTCGCGCGATTTATTGTTTAGGCGTTTTCTTTGAGATTTTACTTTTTACTTTAGAAAGTGTTTATCCTTTTTTTACTTTTGAAACTTTCTCTACCGGGTTTAAATCGAACCTAAAAGAAATAAGTTTAGAAAATCTCATATATTGATCAATTTTCTTAGAGTAATATCTTTGATTTACATAGCTCAACTGATCAAGTTCACTTTTCCGTCTTTGCTGATTGTTATTCAAATTGCGTAATCGGGCAATGGATTGTTTAGAGACCAGAAAAAAAAAAGTGGGATTGCTTTGTGGGACTCAAGAGATCGAGTCCCGTTGATTGGGCACTGTTTTGACGTGGCGGCGGACACTCGAAGAAGCGAAGGAAGAGAAGGATTGAAAGAGTTTGTTGTGGAAAGGATGGACGGAATGGAATGGAATGGAATGGAATAGATGGATGGAGTGCCCCCTCGGCTCCCCTTCCCACTCTCCTTTGACTTTGCCCGCTTCCGCCAAAAGCCGTCCATTCACTCGGCTCGCACTTGGATCGTTTGGTCAATTCGCTACCGATACGGTTTCCCCTCTTGTTTTTTGATCAATCGTAAATTGTAGCCATTTTAAACTCATTCTCTTGCTCATATCCATCTGTTAAGGTCAAGTACTCTAACCATTTTGTCAAGTATTTTGATTAAACATTGCTGCATAAAGATCTAATGCCAAGATATGAGCTCATTATTTTTTAAAAAGAAGCAACAGATCCTACAGATTTTCTCAGGAAAAAAAACAGAAGAGATCAGTGGTGAAAGCTCTTTTTTTCCTTCTAAAGAAAGTGCTTTGGCAATAAAGTTCTTTGAGATTTGCTACTCAAATGCGTTTGTGTGCGTGTCTGTATGTGTGGATGAGAGATTTGAGTGAATGGAGAATCGAGGCATCGATGAGGGCTCTGGATCTGTCTTATGGGATGTGCCAACCAGCCTTTCATCTCCTTTCTCTTTTCTTTTCTTTTTCTCTCCTTTTTTTCCGCGTCAACACTTTCCCCCATTCAGCTACTTTCATCAAGATAATCCACCGTTTGAGCGCTGTTCATTGCCACATTTCCACGTTTTTTTTTGACTTTCAATCGGCGTCTAATTTGAGCCAAAAAAAACTCTGATTGGTCTCGTTTTTCATAAAAATGAATCTTTATTTTTTCAAAGATTAGTTTATTTTTGTTGGCACATGCTTTTGACTCTCTGTTTACAGAGAACTTTTTTGACTTTCGACTTTGAGAATCTACCGAGATTCGAGAGATGAAAAGGAACAAGGCTTTTGAGGGAAGCAGAAGCACTCAATGAGAGCTTTTCACTCCTCGCATTTCCGGTTCTTGACCATTTCAAACCGATCTCTTGACTTCAAGAATCTTGTTATCAAGATTCAGCAGTTTAATCTTTGATTTTTCAGTAGAACTCAAACAAAAAAACTTCCTTTGATCCAGGAAACAAGGACTACAGGGGGCGGAAAAAGTTCTGTCCTTTTTAAATTCTCTTGAATTGAATTCTCTCCGATTTTTATTATTACATAAGTGTTTATAGCCAAAAGATAGTCAATCTTTTACAGAATTTAAAACTTATTACTGCTTTTAAAAAACTTCTTTAGATTTTGAGTTATCACAATTTGCGTGAGCTCTGTGGTCACACCAGTTATTAGTATTACCGGTATAAGAAAATCTATCAAACTTAGAACTCATACGATTAAGAGTATTCAAAATAATTGTTTGTCAGAGCTTATTTATTGTTTTTTTTTGTAATCTTTATAGAAATTTTTGCAATGAAAAAGTGAAAAATATATGCGACCACAGATATTAAAGATAATTTAAAAAAGGACAGAACTTTCGCCGTACTCTGTATGAATATGGATAACTCAAAATCTAAAGTTATTTAAAACTGTAATAAGATTTAAATTCTGTAAAAGATTGGCTATCTTTTGGCTATAAACACTTATGAAATAAAATTAATCGGGAAGCTTTTAGAGAGAATTTAAAAAAAGGACAGAACTTTCGCCGCACCCTGTATATACCGTATTCCTTCGAATAGAAGACCGGGTAAAGAGTATCATCGCGTACTCCTGCGTAGCAGCCCTTTTTAAAGGGCTGCCCTTCTTTTCTGCATAAAAGCTTTCAATCAAGTGCTATAGGGCTGGAAAATGACTCAAAAATACGACATGAGCTAACAGATTTTTGTGTGAATGGGTCGAGAGTTGAATTCAACAAAAAGCGATGGTGTGAATGGGAGGATGGATGACAAAGAGAGAGAGTGGTTGGGATGGGTATGAGTGGCTTCTCCTCATCTTCGTTCCGTCCATTCTCAACGTCTTTCGTTGTTGTGTGCATCCTTTGCTGTAGTTGTTTTGTTTCTCTCGGAGATGAGAAGCGACTCGCCCTTTTACCCCTTTCCCTTTTTTTTCGTTCTTTGTTTGAATGCATGATGCTTTTCAGCTTTGAATCACACCCCAACCACACCTTCTGATCTTTTTTTTCTATCCATTCTTCACGACACCTTTTCTTTTCGAAAAAAACCATCTCAATCTGTCGCCTATATTCAACTTCATAGTTTATTTTGAGATTGTCATTAACATGTGTCATTTTGTTCTCTTGTCTATCGATAGAATATTGATAGATAGAATTGTCTATCGATTGTTCCCTTCTTGAGCGTCACTATGATCAAATCTTTGAGAGCAATTCTTGCTTTAAATATCGATAGATAGAATCGTTTATCGATTGTTCCCTTCTTGAGCGTCACTATGATCAAATCTTTGAAAGCTCCTTTATAGTTCCTTTATAGTTCCTATTTAGTTCCTTTAAAGCCAAATCTAGAGCAATTCTTGCTTTAGATTTGGCTGTAAATTTGACTACAAATTCGATATCGCTAACGAAAACTAACTGAAATATTAAACTGATTCGAAATGATAGAAACTGATTCAAAATGGTAGAAATGTTTTAAACTGATTCGAAAAGGTGATTTCATCTTTTAATACCTGATAAAATCGCATAACTGAACGATAAATGATTGATAAAACGATTTACTTTAACCATTTCTACATGAGTCTCTTATTCGATGTAAACCGACATGATGAGCTTTCTTTTCGGCTATTTTTTTTGACTCAAGATTTAGGAAAACGAAACAAAAGTTCAACTTACTTTCTCCAAAAATAGTAAGATAGTTTTTACTTAAATTCACATCTTAGAAAACGCTTTACTTTTTCATTTTACTTTTATTTTTAGATATTCTTGTTTTTTGAAATAAATTACTCAAAATTTCAATTACTTTTTATATTTCAGGACTCAATGATCACCATCATTCGCCCGTATGAGCCACCGCCAGATTATGTGAGTTTCAAGCAAGATTTTCAAGATTTTCATAAAAGTTTTTCTAATGTTCGCAACTTTTTGAATGATTTATTTGTTTTCAAAACGTTTTCTCTTACTCTAGATGAGTTTCGGAGAAAATTCCAATGAATTTCCCAACACTTTTTTTCGGGAAAATTTCGATTCGCTCACGTTTTTCTCGAATTTGATTCTCCTCTTTTCTCTCGAATTTCAAAAGCCAGCATTTTGAATTTCAAATTGCCCTGTTGTTCTCTCTTGAATTGATTTATAAGTTCCTAGCACTTTATCATTCGATCTACAATCTATTTATTCCCCAACTCGACTTATTCAGAAGCTATCATTTCAGCAGTCTCCGAAAGCGCGAATAAAATCTATCGCTCGGTTTTACATTGATTGATAAGCTCTTGTCGAAAGAGGGGAATAATATAGACTTGGCAAAAAGAAAAAGAATAGAAAAGAGAGAACGATTGGGGAATGTGTTTGGCTTTGAATAGTTTCCCAAGAGCTACCAGTCTTCCTCCTTTTCTGCTCAAGAGAGATGGAGATAGAAGACATGCAGCTGGAGGGGTAAGAGGGGGGAGTCATGTGCAAAAGAGTCAAAAAGTCTTTCTCATACACACCAAGTCACTAGGTCTTTCTCTTCATTTTTCGGTTGTGCAGTTGTGCCGGTGGTTGGTGGGACTGCTGTATTGACTGTGTACATAGGGGCATCAGTGGAGGGGGATGCTCCCGTCTGTGTCTCAGCTCTTTTGTCGGGGTGAGGCTGGTCGTGGTTCTCAGCCAACAAGAAGACCGAATCCTCTTTTCTGTGAATTCTATACCTGCTTCGTCAATTCTCATATTGACTCTCATAATCATTTTATGTTGTTCTTTGTTTTCTTTGAGGCGTTTATTGTGTTTCTTATTCTTTGTTTTATCTATTAAAAAGGTTTTATTTATTAAAAGGGTTTAATTAATGAGGTGAAATGTCTTTTCCTTTCTCAATACTAAAAATTGAGAGTTATTTCGTTATGTTAAAATGTTTTTGCCTTTATCAAAATGTCTTTACCTTTGTCAAAATCTCTCCATCTTTTTCCATCCATCAAAATCAATTTCGAAATCTCAATACTCTATAAAAACCCTTTCAAAGATTTTGAGTGTTGTGACTTTCCCAATAATTACCTGAATCTTAAAGTGCGTCTGTGTGAGATGGTGGTAGTTGTAGACAAGGATTGGAGAGGGAAAAGGTAGACGGACAATGGCACTCCCGTCTTTGGCACATACATGCCAATGAATGCCCCTTTCCACTTAGAGACAGTCTCTTCCCCTCCTCCCATTCTCCTCTCATTCCCTTTTTTTTCTTCTTCATTTCTTTCCGTTGACCCCTTTTACTCACGTTTACTTAACCTCTTTAAAAAGTTTTGAAAAAGAAAAGACTATTGAGGACCAAAAATTGAGAAATTCATTGAAAAAATAATTTGTTAGTTATACCTGGCTATTCGAGCGCTTGCATAAAAGATATCACAAGGCGTCATCTTGTTCGGGTCACCGGACAACAAGGTCACAAAAACGTGTTCAAAGAAGAAGACAAGAAGATATTGAAGGGATATCCATCCCCATTCATCCTCATACAGACCCGAGCCTCCCCTCAGCTCATCCCTTTCTCTTCCTCCTCCTCTTCCTCTTCCTCTTTCTCTTTCTCGACTCTCTCGTTCTCCTCTCCTTTTCTCAATCTTTGTGAATCGAGATAATCGAAAACTCATCCCATCTCTTTCATTGTTTTCCTCGAAACATCATTTTCACTTTCATTTTACTTTTAGCTACTTTCTTTTAAGATCTGCAGAAATTTCTTCTCTATCATTTTATTTCAATTTTATTTCAATCAATGGGCCTTTCCCTTTTCTAATTGAAATCTAAATTAAACGCTCATTAATAAAGCCAATAAAGTTTCTTTTTGTTTTCAATAAAATATTCTAGTTTTAAACTATTCGCCTGAACGGAATCAATCAATCCTAGAACGGAATCAATCCTATCATTTCTCGAGTTCTTTCCTTAAAAACAATTTATGCCAGTAAACTATAATAGCAATAAAAATTGTTTCACAAAAAAAACAGAAATTCTTGGAGCTAGAAAAAGGGATTCGATTTTCAGCCGTTCGACGACGAAACGAGCAACGAAAACGAGGAAAAACGAGGCGATTCATCGAACGTTTCAAAGGTTTTTGTATGAAGAGATTTATCGAACTTGTTTGGAAATTCATTTTATAAAACATTTTATAAAACTCTTTTCTAGGAAACCTCGATTCTTACCTCAAAATTTCCCAAGAGAACCGATGGGAATGAGATGCTGAGAACAAGACAATATCCGGAGGTTTTGTTTTTTGTTTTGGAAAATTTCCTTTTAAGTGTTAAACGCAACAACTTTTCAGGTAGCCGGACTTTATTGTGGCGATGAGAAAGTTCCAGCTCTCAGGAGATTCACTAGGTAATTTGAGCGCCTAATTGTGTTTATTTTAAAGATGAGACCATTGTAGGTATAATCAGTCGATGAGTCAACGTGAACACCCCTCAAACACAATTCCCGTTCAATCATTCACTTCTAATGGAAGTTGCACAAAATCTTTCACAAAGAAATCGCATTTTAACTTTGGAAATTGGACTTTCCGGGAGAAGAAACAGAGTCGACCGGGTTTGCCAATCGAAATGCAACCAAAAAGGTTTGTGCTCTTCACAAAACATTTACAGAATGTTTAAAGTTGTTAAATCTAGAAAAATCAGCACAAATTTTATTTAGATATGAACGTCCAGCCTCGGTAAATCTTTCTGATGTTAGAAATCTTCGGAGTCGAAGCGAAGGTGGAAGACTTATTGAAGAAAGACCAAAAGAAGAGACACAAGAATACAGGTTTAGAAAAAAAATCGGGAGTGGAACAAATGCGATCTTTTTTTGCGCACCCGGACATTTGCGCACCTTTTTTTCCGCACCTTGCCCATTAGCGCACCTTATTCGCGTTTTAAAAAAGCTCTAAAAAGCTAATATTAACCAATTTCTATTCCAAAAGTTGTTTTTCTAGGTAATTTGAGGGCGTAGAATCGAAATTTTGACATAACAGAGCGTGTGGAACCAATTTGAAAGACAAAACGGCTAGATCAAATTACAGAAAATTGTTGATTTTCCTCTTTGTATAACTCCGTCCGTTTGTTTCCACAAGCTCTGATATGTCCAAATTTCGATTCTACGCCCTAAAATTACCTAGAAAAACAACTTTTGGAATAGAAATGGGCAAGGTGCGGAAAAAAAAGGTGCGCAAATGTTCGGGTGCGCAAAAAAAAGGTCGCATTTGTCCCACTCCCAAAAAATCAAAAAATTCATTTCGAAAAAGCTCATTGAGTTTTTGCAGCTGTAGAATTCCGATTCGTGTGGAACGAGTGCCATTGCAAGAAAGCGTTCGCTCGACAAATAATCGTGTCTTTTTTTCGAAGTCAACCCCCGCCTCAACAAAAAGGTTTTCTTTTCCGAAGATTTTTTTGTTTTCAATAAAATATTCTAGTTTTAAACTATTCGCCTGAACGGAATCAATCAATCCTAGAACGGAATCAACCCTATCAAACACCAAAGTTTAAATCAGAGTATTCAATCTTTGAATGATTTTAAAAGTTTTCAAATTTTAGAACATCTCTTGAAAAAGCAGCTACTCTTCAACAGGAAAATGATTCATTATGTGTAAATTTGGGTGAACATCGAATTAGTAAGAAAAGGAATCGACGAAGAGACAAAACTCGAGATGCTTGGAGGAGTAAAGAAGTGACGGTAAATTAAAAGATTGTATAAAAGAAAACAATATATTGGGTTGTCCAGTTATGAATGCGCGTTTTTTACTATTCTGTAAATTTCTCAAGATACCGAAATCAAGAAAGAGATATATATGAGTATTATTCGAAAGCTGAAGATCTCCTCTACATTACAAATTCCAAAGCATTTTATATCAAAATGTAGAGGAGATCTTCAGCTTTCGAATGATATATAACACTCATATACATCTGTTCGATATCTTGAGAAATTTACAAAATAGTAAAAACGCGCATTCATAACTGGACAACCCAATAAAATCTTGCATATAATGTCAATTTCAGAATTGGAGTCTCGATGATATTCTCGTTTGGTTGCAAGCAATTCGATTAGATGAAGTGGCCTCACTTTTTGTTGGATATGATTTAAAAGGACCTGATCTCAATCAATGGGATCATCAAATCCTCAGTAATGAAAAATCTAATTAACTAATGTTTTTTTTTCCAGCTCAACTTGGCGTAAACGATTCAAGAATTCGCTCAAAGATTCTCACAGAACTGGAAATTGTGAGAAAAGGGGGACCATTGAAAGATGGTGAGAAGAACGATCGGCAAACAACAAGCATGTTTGATTTAGTGCGAAACACTGAGTTTGATCAGGTTTGAAAATTGATTTCAGCTTTGAATAGCTTTTTTTTTTGATTAAGGTATTAGCATTTGAGACAGCTCTAACCCCAAGAGATCTCTCTGTAACTGGCGGTAGAATGGGATGTCTTCAAGTAACGAAAGTTGACGGATCGTGTCTTCCATTTAAAGAAAATGATTGGTAAGTCGTGCATTATTTAAGAAATTATCGTATTCTACTCAAAAGCTTCTTAATTTTGATGATCATTTATAAATCTATATGTCGTAGCCGATTATGAATTTCAGCCGATTATGAATGAGCGGGTCCGGATGCGTCCAACCATCAAGTATTTGGTATCATTCAACGCAGGATCATTAATAATTATGTTAAATTTTTTAAATTAGAAAGATTGGATAAAAAGAAAAAAATTATGGAGCCTCAAAGTTTCCTCTTGAACAAACAGTTTTTTTGCTCTAATTTTTTTTCTTTTTATCAAATCTTTCTAATTTTAAAAATTTAACATAATTATTAATGATTCTGCGTTGAATGATACCAAATACTTGATGGTTGGACGCTCCTAGACCCGCTCATTCATAATCGGCTGAAATTCATAATCAGCTACGGGGGTCCCGCCGATTTTGAATGAAACGTTCTAGCGCCGGTAATTTTTAACCTAAACTCACAAATTTGGTACCAATCGACGCAGAATTTAATTCGCTACAGGATGATATAATATTGTCCTCATACATTAAAGGGTTGCTCTACTAGAAAGATTTACCAAAAAATTTCATTCATAATCGGCTACGACATATATAAGACACGTTTAGTCTTCTTGAGATCAATGGTGTGTCGGGGGAACATTTTAAATCAGCGTTGATGCTCACAAAATTCATCAGGTTACACTTGTATAAAAAAAAAATTTATATAATTTCTTATGTAGTGATGCTGATGGGCAACCGATTCGTTTTGTGATTTTGAGAAGAAAAGAAAAAGAAGACGATTCGACTAGCCAGGTAGGTCTGATTTTTATTAGCATTTGATCATTTGTATGTAAAGAGTATATTTATTCACACGAATAATGTGGTACAAACAATACAAAAGCACAACTTTTTAGTCCTAAATGTAGGGGAGCAAAAAGAAACCCAGATCTAGATTAAAAAAAAAAATCGATGATCTAATGAGCGAGATCGAACTCTTCACCTCTCGACTAAGACACAGGGCTCTTAGCCACTCGGCTATGCCGGCCATATCACTCGCTTCCAATATCAGTATTATTTAGACGGACTCCTCATCCGGGATTTCCTCATCTCCTCTTACTCCCGTCGAAAATGTCGTGTAAATATCGATTCTAAAAGATTTTCTTTCATCTTTTAATTTTCATTTTCACAAAAGCTCTTTTCCACAAAGCTCTTTCAGATTTCTAGAAAATTTTCGCCTAGCGATAAGCCTACGATACAGTATTTTGCTGTGGCTTCTGTATCCCCTACTTTTTTTTGCATCTAAATATCTGGATAGTCACCGATTGTGTAATATATGTTTTGTGATCGATGTGCTATCAAAGCTATTGTTGATAAAACTGCATTTATTCACAGGACACATTTTACTGCATCATCACTTCATGTGCAGAAAAGGAAAGAAATGTTTTGTGCTTTTGATTGAGTCATAAAGTTGAGGAGAATAGTTGCGAGTGGAGGTGTCAAAAAGTGGGAGAGGGGAAAGTGGTCAGGGGGTAAAGGCGAAGATCCCAATGAGAGTCCCCCAAATCGTCTACCCAACACTTGGGATAGAAAGATGCGACAGGAAGAAGGGACCGAGCTCCACCAGGGACCAAGCGACTGACTAATCGAAGCCAAGATTAACCGCTCTTCTTTTTCGCTCTTTTCTCATCCACAGCCAGCCCTTGCCCGCTTTTTCTTTGCTTCCATCTCGAACCCAGAAAGGTGCGTTGTAACACGTCCCCTAAACGGTGCAGCTGGGACTCTGAAAGATGGTGAGAGACCAGATCACAAATGAAAAGAGAAAGAGAGAAAACGAAAGGGACAGCCACTCTCAGCATTGAGCAGAGCCCCATCTCGATCCATCCACCTTTTCTCCTTTTCTTCTTTTCTTTCACTGGATCGACTCCTAGCTTTCCTTTCCTCACTTTGACAAGACTCTCAACCCGTCTTCTATTTTACTCAACTCATATCACCTTTCCGATTTGACACTAAAAAAACTGTTCGTCTTCTCAAATGTATTTTGCCTTGTTCTCTAGGAATTTTTATTTCCTTAAACTTCTTGAAGCTATAAAACTAATTTCTACATTTTATTTGAAGACTAATCAATAATGGAAAGCTATTAATGTATGAAATGAAAGTGGGGGAATGTTAGGGTTGCTAGTCGGAGCACAGCTGGGCCATATGTAGTGAAGGGAAGCTGGGGGGTAGAAGAAGTGGTGTGTTTATAAAAGTGCACAAATCGGAGGGTCTCAAGCTTTCTTGACCCTTTCCCCTTTCCTCCATCGTTCTTTTCATTAACCCCTTTCCTTTTAACCATCTCTTTACCCAATTATTTGATATTTAAACTCAATTCAATGTGTAGGTGTATAATTACCTGAATCTTAAAGTGCGTCTGTGTGAGATGGTGGTAGTTGTAGACAAGGATTGGAGAGGGAAAAGGTAGACGGACAATGGCACTCCCAAAACATTTCTTCTGAGTTCAGCTTTAGCCGTTAGCCAAAAATGCGTTAGCCAAGATAACAACAGACAGGATTACGGTAGTCAAAGATTGTCAAAGACAAAGATATAACACTAATGAAGTTAAGTTTTTGAATCCTCCTAAACACTGACTTTTCCACCGTATTCATTCGTTTTTTTGTGAACTTTCTTGCTTTAACTTACTGTAGTTTTCATTCATTTTTTTACTTTAAATAATTGATTAAAACGCCATAAATGCTCATCATTGTTCTCAATTTTACTTTAAATAATTGAGTATTTTGTTTTCTTGAATTTCTTGCATTGATTGTCTAGGGGTGTAAATTGGAAAAGAAAAGTAGCCGCCCGAGGTGTCATCATCGGCTCTGCGATCAAGCGGAGAAAGAGCGGCTGCTGCAAAAATGCGGCGCTGGAAGAAGCTCGATCTCGCCCTTATAGGTCAATAATACAATCAATGATGAAAAGATTTTAATGAAAGATACAATTTTAGATATGACTTAAATAAGTTAGACAACTAATAAAAACATTTACTCTGTTTCTTATGCATTTTTTGCTAATGTAAGAAGAAGTAACGAAGAACAAGAACTGATTTATCATATTAACTTTTAGTCTTAGTTTAATTGTGATTGAAAATAAGCCAAATTATATAAAACGCCATAAATGCCCATCATTGTTCAAGGTTTTTTGTCAAATAATCGAACCATTCTAGGTGTATGTCTATTAGCGATTTTGGTGAGAGAGGGTGAGGCGGCGGCTGCCTGTAAGGGATGCGCTCCTCCTTGTGTATGCCCTGGACAAAAAGGAGAACGGGTTCGTTTTTGTTTTGATTTACTCACAGTCACATTTTTTTTTTTTGCAATAAAGTTTACAAGTTTCTTTCACCTTTTTCATTGATCCATTCTCGTTATGCAAAGACAACTTGAAAAGAATAGAAAATAAAGTTGCGCCATTTGAAATCCCTTCCAGGCAACAGCTGTTACGATTCGTTGACTTTCAAAAAAACTTTCCATCCTTTTTTGATTGGCAATTCCAGCTGGAAAGAACCTCACTGGCTGCTGAAATCTCTAGTCTTGCCTAAGAAAAAAGTTGAATAATGATCTTGATATTGGAATGAAGAGAGACACCACTGTTAACCCAAAACCGAGATTACTATTCAACTATGAGTATTTCGTTGAATAGAGAAAAAAAAGTAGCAACAAATAAATGCCGTTGCATAAATTATAAACATTTATTTTAGGGTCTTCCCGGTTTTGCTGGTCCAGAAGGTCATCCAGGCTCTCCAGGAGAAGATGGATCTGAAGGAATGATTGGAGCACCCGGAATGATGGGAGCTGAAGGAGATTTCGGAGACATGGGACCAAAAGTGACTTATTAAAGCTTTTCTTGATGAAATTCTGCTTTAGGGTCCTCGAGGAGATCGCGGTTTACCAGGAGCTCCCGGTCATCCCGGACTTCCTGGATTGGATGGATTCCGAGGCTTGAAAGGAGAAGAAGGAATCCCTGGATGCAATGGAACGGATGTAAGTTGAAAACGTTGAAACTTTTAGACTAATCGCTTTTGATTGTAACTAAAAAGCTAGTTCTCGACCGCTCTATGTAACCTTATACATTACTCGTATTCTTAGTCAGACTAGGATTCGTTTTTTTTAAATAAATCAGTGAAATTTTTGAAAGATAGCGGGTGTTACAATGATCAAAAGATAAATTTGTGTCAAGAAAATGGAGAAACGAGAGGGTAAAGAAGGGAGAGAAGAGATTGAAGGATGGGAGTCCATTGGCCGAGAGTCGACAAGAGAAAAGAAAGCTCTTGGTGTAAAATGCGAGCTGGTTGCTTCAAATGCATTCCCCTCTAGTAGCATTTGATTGATCCACATTTGAAAACTTTATATCTGAAGAAGGAAATAAAGCTAAATCAGTGAAAGTAATGTGCATTTTAGGGTACGCCTGGAAGACCTGGATTGCCTGGATATCCAGGTCAACCGGGAGAACAAGGGCGATCTGGAATTCCTGGTGAGAGAGGTCAACCTGGAGATGGAGGCATCAATTCTGATGGAAGGAAGGGAGAAAGGGGTAACCCGGGACACCCTGGAACACCTGGAACACACGGATCACCTGGACACCCTGGAGCTAAAGGAGGCAAAGGAGACCAAGGACCGGTAGATTTGTGAATGCTGTCGTTTATTAAATCTTTTCTTAGTGGGGTTTACCTGGTTTCCCAGGACCACTTGGAGAAAAAGGACGAATGGGATTGAGAACACCTGGAATGAAAGGAGAAAAAGGTCTTCCCGGACCACCAGGACCTCCTGGACAATCTGGTGTTTGGCCTGAGATCAAACAACCGCCAGAGATCGAGATTTTGCAAGGTCCACAAGGAATGCCAGGTTTTTTTTACATGAATTTATTATTACAAAGTTGAGAAATTTAGGAACCAAAGGAGAGAAGGGAAGAAATGGACCTGTCGGACAACCTGGATTCCCTGGAAGAGAGGGTGAACCCGGTTATGCAGGGCTTAAAGGAGACAAAGGAGATCATGGAGATTTTGGAGAAAGAGTAAATGGCGTGATGAAATTCCTGAAATTTTAAAACTTTAGGGAAAAAGAGGAAAAGATGGAAACATGGGACTTCATGGTGAAAAGGGATCGGGTGGAGAACAAGGTAAAACAAAGAATCTATTAACCTCTAAATGACGTTTAGGATTGAACGGTTTACCTGGGATTCCTGGTCACAAAGGAGAAGCAGGCGAGCCTGGATATGATGGACGACAGGGAGAGGAAGGAGAATGCGGACCAGAAGGACCAATTGGAAAAGGCACGGGTGAAGCGGGACCTCGAGGACCTCAAGGAATCGATGGAGTGCCTGGAGAAGCTGGAGAACCTGGAAGATCTGGACTACCAGGTTCTGTTGGATGGAGAGGACCGGTTGGATATCCAGGATCCCCTGGAGCACCTGGAATTTCCGGACTTCCTGGATTCAGCGAAAAGGTTGGTATTGTTTATACGACAAAGATTGCCTAGTTATTGTGGTTCACTTCCAAATTTCAGGGAGACCGTGGGTCAGATGGATATCCCGGATTTGTTGGCTCACCTGGTATCCCTGGAGAAGATGGAGATTGTGGCCTTCCCGGCGAAGACGGCCCACCTGGTTTTGATATTCAGGTAAAAAACAAATACGCAAAAACTAAAAGTGATTCTAGGGACCACCCGGTGCTGATGGTTTGTCTGGTCGTGATGGTTATCCTGGAATTCCTGGAACAGTCGGAGATCCTGGTTTCTCTGGAGAAAAAGGATTTCCCGGTACAGGAGTGAACAAAGTCGGCCCAGCTGGTTTGCCAGGACTTCCTGGTGATCCGGGACCAAATGGTAATCAAATAAAAGCTCTTTCTATAATATTATTGTGCTTGAGGTCGAATTGGTATTGACGGACCGCCTGGATTTCCTGGAGTTTCTGGTGAAAAAGGAGATGATTGTGGATACTGTCCTGACGGTCTTGCTGGTCTTCCTGGTGATGTTGGAGCACCTGGCCTTGATGGGTGAATAAGATTCTGAATTTATCATATACCAATCAAAAATTTTAGTTTCCCAGGACCACCAGGACCATATGGAGATGAAGGAGAGTGCGGTGAACCTGGTTTGTCGGGTAAAGCTGGAGCTCCCGGTTCTGATGGATTGCCTGTGAGTTTCCCACTTTTTAAAAAATTTAATTTTAATTTAGGGACTCGAGGGACCTCCAGGATTGCCTGGTTACGCTGGACCAAAGGGAGAAATGGGTAATGCGCCCATAAATTTTCTATAATATTTATTACGTTAAGGAGAGATTGTCGGTCCGATTGAAAACCCGCCTGGCATTCCTGGGCCAAAGGGAGAACGAGGCCTACCAGGGTACCCAGGATCGGATGGAAGTTCTGGATTGGGAGGTCCTTCTGGTCCTCCTGGTCCTCCTGGCTTGCCTGGAAATCCTGGTGAACAGGGTCTTGTCGGAATTGAAGGAAAGAAGGGACGCGATGGAGCTGTAAGCATTCAGAAAAAGAAACTTTAAGACAACTGGCTTCAGCTTGGCTTCCCTGGAGCACCTGGACTGCCTGGAGATAACTTCCCTGGGTTGCCCGGCACACCTGGATTGAAAGGCAAATTGAAAAATAAAGCAAGTAATACGTTAGTTTAGGATTCCCTGGAGAGGCAGGACTTCCCGGTACACCAGGCCTTCCAGGACCAAGAGGTATCGACGCACCTTGGCGTGAAGTCAAGCCCGGACCACCAGGACTACCTGGACAAGATGGACGTCCAGGAGAAGAAGGCGAATGTGGAGATGAAGGACTGCCTGGATTCCCTGTATGTTTCTCTTTTTGAGTTGAGAGAAATCAAATTCAGGGACAACCAGGTCAAGATGGCTACCCTGGAGCCCCTGGAGAACGCGGTGGTGATGGAATGCCCGGTTTCCCCGGACTTCACGGAGAGCCAGGATATCGAGGACAGCAAGTAAAAAAACTGAGATTCCAAAAAATTCGATCAATTTTTCTAGGGAGATGTGGGCTTAAATGGATTAGATGGCGAGTGTGGAGAAGAAGGAGCTCCTGGTTTCCCTGGAGCGCCAGGTCTCCCAGGTAGGTTAAATTCAAGCCAAAATCTCAAGCTTTTATTTATTTCAAATTCTATTTCAAATCTTTTATGCTACTTTGTTCTAGGTCAACGAGGAGAGCCTGGTTATGGTTATCCAGGACAAGCTGGAATCCCTGGAGAACCAGGTGAATGCGGCGAAGATGGTTTCCCGGGGGTACCTGGAAGACAAGGACAACCAGGACAACCCGGTTTGCCAGGTTAGAGCTTATTTTTCATTATTATCAAATATCAAGTAAAAATCAAGGATCAAAATCAATTTCAGGACACCCGGGAGAGCGTGGGATGGATGGCCCTGCTGGACCTGATGGACTTCCCGGAATTCCTGGAGAAGTATTTCTTTTTCTTCACAGTACCTAATTATTTGGAATATGTAGTTCTAATTTAAAAATTTCATTTTAGGTTGGACTTCCTGGAATCCCTGGCAAACAAGGCCGGCTAGGAGCAATTGGTTGCCCTGGTAAACCTGGTCTACCAGGTTATAGAGGTGAAAGTGGACAAGCTGGTCAACCTGGATATGCTGGAGCACCGGGACTTCCTGGAGAGAATGGATTGCCTGGAGTACCTGGAAGAGAAGGAGCTCCCGGTGAACCTGGAAGACCTGGAGAAGATGGAAGCATTGGATTCCCGGGACTTCACGGAGAGCCTGGCATGCCTGGACTACCTGGAACCGAGGGATATCCTGGAGAAGAAGGCGAGTGTGGTGAAGATGGACTTCCTGGATTGTCTGGAGAACCTGGAGCTGATGGTTGGTTTAACTGAATGCTTTCACCTTTGGCTAATAATACTTTGATATTGTTTCCAGGCTTACCTGGATTGCCTGGACGAGATGGTTTGGAGGGAGAAGGTGGGCTGCCAGGAGATGATGGATTGCCGGGATTGCCCGGTCTTCCTGGAGAGCCTGGTAATCTTGCTCGACCCGGATTGCCTGGAGATCTTGGACTACCTGGAATGGATGGCCTTCCTGGAGACGCTGGTCTTCCTGGTCTTGAAGGTGACTGCGGTCCTGAAGGAGAGCCTGGACAGTCATACCCTGGACAACCTGGATTGGCTGGTCCTGAGGGGTGAGCCTGGATATGATGGTGGAGATGGACTTCCCGGAACTCCTGGCTATCCAGGAATCACCGGTCGACCGGGAGCTAAAGGAGAAAATGGAGACAACGGACTTCCTGGATACCGGTAGTTGACTAGTTTGAAAATCTCAAACTTTATTTCAGTGGAACCGATGGACGGTCAGGAGAAGAAGGAGAATGCGGCGAGCCTGGAGTCCCAGGTCAACCTGGTTACCCTGGACAAGCTGGAGCACCTGTGAGCAAATCTAAAAAAATTATGCTTTATCTAACTGTTTCAGGGACTCGCTGGATACCCCGGAGAAGCCGGTTTCCCAGGTCTTCCTGGTGACAATGGACTGCCTGGAATTCCCGGACAATCTGGTAATTTAAAATATCAATAATTAATTAAATAGTTGATATTTCTAGGACTTCCTGGCCTCAAGGGAGAAGCGGGAAGCGCTGGACTGCCTGGGTACCACGGCGCTCCTGGTTTGCTTGGATATCCGGTATTATTTACTTGCAAAAATTTAACCTGTGATCACTGCAGGGAGAGGCTGGACTGCCTGGAGCGGACGGACTTCCAGGAGATGATGGTATCCCTGGTGTGCCTGGTGGGCCTGGAGAGGAGGGTGAATGTGGAGAAGAAGGAGGCCCTGGATATCACGGACAACCTGGATTACCCGGTATTTGAAAATTGCGCGCTCAAAAATGATTTTATTTTCAGGACCCATTGGTCCACCCGGATGTAATGGATTGCCTGGAGCTCCTGGCAGAGATTCTCCTGGATCACCAGGATTGCCAGGTTTAAAAGCTTTCTAGTAAAAGGATACCTGTTACTTTTTAGGAGAAGCCGGTCTTCCCGGCCGTGATGGATATCCCGGAGCTCCAGGTCTTCCTGGAGAGCGCGGAGATGATGGACTGCCTGGAACACCTGGATACCCAGGAATGCATGGAGAACCTGGTTTACCTGGAGGACCTGGCGAGAGAGGACTTGTCGGTCTTAATGGAAAAGATGGGAGGTAAATTTTTCATGTTGAAAAATATAAAAACAACAAATTCTAGGGATGGACAACCTGGTGTTCCTGGATTCCCAGGTCAAGATGGCTTGCCCGGTGTAGAGGGAGATTGTGGAGATGATGGTTTCCCTGGTCTTCCCGGTCTTGAAGGCACGCCTGGTTACCCTGGAAGTAGAGGAGATGCTGGATTGCCTGGAGCTCCTGGTTATCGTGGAGACAACGGAGTGCCCGGACTATCAGGAGCACCAGGATTACAAGGTAAAATAAAAGTGTTGTGTTGGTTTAGAAGTATTTTAAGGAGCTCGAGGAGATGATGGACTTCCTGGATTTGATGGAAAATCCGGAGTTCCCGGTCGCCCTGGAGTTCCTGGCCCTCCAGGAGCATCTGATATGACACAACGAGGTCTCCCCGGTGCACCTGGAGATGATGGATATCCCGGAGAGAAGGGTTACCCGGGAGAGAATGGAAATAGAGGTAATTACGGGGAACTCGATGAAAAACCTTTTCTTGCAGGCTTGCCAGGACCAAACGGTGCAGCTGGTTTCCCTGGATCGCTTGGAATTCCGGGAAGCCCGGGAGTTTCTGGAGTTTCTGGATACAAGGGAGAAAATGGAGATGCTGGTTTGGTCGGTGTTCTCGGTAGAGCCGGTCATCCGGGACCTCCAGGACCTCCTGGTTTCCCTGGTGTGCCCGGACCAATCGCTCCAAGCAGAGGATTCACTTACACCAAGCACTCGCAAACCACTCAGGTATAAGAAAACGTTTTTCAATAAGTTTGTTTGTCAAAACTTTTACGTTAGTAACGAGGAGTTTAGGTGCCAACTTGTGCCGATGGAACTCAACCACTTTGGACCGGATATTCACTTCTCTATGTACAAGGAAACGGACGTGCCTCAGGACAAGATCTTGGTTAGTCAAAATATCAGGGGCTCACCGGAAAGTGTTCGCTTTTTTAAAGGGTACTTTTTGAAAAGAATAATGAACAGTCGATCTATGATTTGATAGATAAATTTTCATAAAATTTCACTAAAACCGTTTTCATTCTATGTCTATTGTAAAGATTTTAGAAAAACAAGAATTCCTGTTTGGATTTGCTTAAAAATGAGCTAAATGCAATCCTTATTCTTTCTTATTTAAAGCAAACACATTGATCGGCTAAATATTCATTTATAAACGAATAAGACTTTCCGGTTAAACCAATAGACACAGAAGCCTAAAATGATAAAAACAATGATAACAGGTCAACCGGGATCGTGTCTCTCGAAATTCTCAACAATGCCTTTCATGTTCTGCAATTTGAACAGTGTTTGTCATGTCTCTTCGCGTTCCGATTATTCCTTCTGGCTTTCGACCGAAGAGCCGATGACAGCCATGATGAACCCCGTATGCTTTCATTTGCAATCGCAATTTGCCATTTCATTTGCAATTCATTTGCAGTCACAATTTGCAATCACAATTCGATTTTCAGGTAACCGGTTCTGCAATCCGACCATACATCTCGCGATGCGCTGTTTGCGAGATTCCAACTCAAATCATGGCCGTTCATTCACAGGATGTTTCTGTGCCAAGATGTCCTCAAGGATGGAGTCCTCTCTGGCAAGGATATTCGTTTGTCATGGTATTTTAAATTATCTAAGATATCATTATCTCACCTCTAGCACACTGCCGCTGGTGGTGAGGGTACAGGGCAATCACTCCAATCGCCTGGCTCATGTCTCGAGGAGTTCCGTGCAGTGCCTTTCATTGAGTGTCAGGGACGGTAAGTTTTTACTAAATTATAGTACCCAAAGTCGCCTACAAATATCAATAAATTTACATATTTTCAGAGGCACATGTAACTACTACGCAACAAATCACGGCTTTTGGTTGGCCATTGTGGATCGAGTATGTTTATGCTTTAAAACAAATATAAAATAAACAGAAACTAGAGTTTTTTTTTTCTTCAGTCCTCGATTTTAAGCGATTTTATCCAGAAAACCTAAGGAAAATCAATTTTAGAATCAACAATTCCGCAAACCAATGTCACAAACATTAAAGGCTGGTGGTTTGAAAGATCGAGTGTCGAGATGCCAGGTGTGTACAACAAAAAAAACGACAAATCTTGAGAAATACAGTGCAATGGACAATGAAATATCATATTTGAAAAACGATCGTCAATTTCGCGCCTCTGTAGCTCCCTTGTTTTTGCGTTTAAACTCTTAGTGCTATACATTTTCTGAAAGCTCTTTTCAAGGGCTACACAATGGTAATATTAATATTTAGAAATACGGTAAAGACAAGGGAGTTACAGAGGCGCGAAAGTGACGATCTTTTTTCAAATATCATATTTCATTGTCCAGTAGTGTATACTAAAGTTTTTTTTTGAAATCAATGCAATTTTAGGTTTGTCAAAAGGATGGCCCTCGTCGTTAACAACAACAAAAACTACTTCAATTATTGCCTTTCTTTTTTATTTTCCTTTCCCGTGCCTTATTTCTCCTTCTTTTTTGACACGAGTATCGTTTTTAACAAATAACAAATAACAAACTTTACTGCCATTTATTTTTCTTTTTCATCTTTAATCTTTTTTCACATGTCATTATGGCATAAGTTCTTTCTTTTTGTTGATAGATGCTTTGAAAATTTCAACACTATTACTGCCAAGAAAAATCACTGTCAAATTCAGAAAAGAAAAAACAAATCTTTTAGCCCTAATCAACATGCGTATTTATTGAAATTTTTGTTACAAATAAAGCTATTTTTTATTTGATTTGAATAAAAAGTGCACGCTTTATCAATTACTCAATCATTCCATTAATGATCGTAGCTAGATTTACAACGATTTGCAAAGCAGGAAGAAATCAAGAAAAGAAATGGAAAGAAATGGAAAGAAATTAAAAGAAATGGAAAAATACAGGTGAAAACATTTGATAACTTGATGCATTTTATGTAAAAATCAGATTTTTGAAGGAAAAATAGCTTAGAGAAACGGGAAAAAGTAGGAAAAAAAACGTTCACCTAAATTTCTATTCAATTGAATTTTCTCCCCATCTCTCCTGGCCCACCGCTCCCATACCACCAAAAAGCCTCCCCTCAACTCATTCAACTCCCTTTCTTCTCTTCTTCTCACTCCACTTAATCCCCTATTCACACGTTAATTTTTAAATAACTTTCACTTATAAAAACATCTTTTTTCGATAATGATTTCTATTTTTAATCTCTCCTTTTCTCTAATGGAAAGTGAAATAAAAACAACAAACTTTTTATCGAATTTCTGCAAAGTGCAGCTTTTTTTTGATCTGTTTTCGCACTCAGGTGTTCCTATTTGCGCAGATCACAACCTGCTTCCACATTTCTCTATCCCTTGCTATTGTCATCCAGTGTTTCCTAGTTTGATTGTTCCTGGTTCGAAGTCTTCGACTTGCTGGTGCTGGTGGTGGTTGCACTCTAGCCATCCTTTCTCTGACCGTCTCTGCCACTCTTGTGCTCCACCTCGTTGCTGGTCTTCCGATGGGCCTCTTCTGGTCTCGTGGTAGCCATTCTGTGATCCGTATCGTCCATCTGTCGTCTGTTCTTCTGGCTACGTGGCCGGCCCATCTGAGTCTTTTTCTCCCAATCACTTCCACTGGATCTCTGAGTCCCGAGAGCTGGCGCATATCCGTACTTCTTAGGTCTTGGTCGAGCTGCGTCTTCCTATTGTACCCGAGGAGGTTCCTTTCAAGGGCTCGATGCGTCGTTCTCAGGGCTCGTTCAGCGGTCTGTGTCGTGGCCCAGGTCTCTGTCCCGTAGCAGAGTGCCGGGAGGACAGTGCAAATGCAGCTTCAAGTACAGTATTATTTATTTAAGTATTTGTACAAACTTTGAGTACAATACATTACTGTTTTACTATACTTTATCAATTACTCAATCATTCCAATTAATGATCTTACCTAGATTTACAACGATTTTTATGAAGATGATATCAAATGGGAACTCTAACCTTTAAGAGTGCTTCCATAAAGTGAGATGAAGAGTGGAAAGGGGAAAGAGAAAAAAGAATCATTTGGTATTCATCCGTGAGGGGTACTTGAAAATTCACATTTCGAATGGGAGGAGGAGGGAGGGATTGGGGCATCGGATTGGATACTCCTTGCCCTCCCCTCCGCTCCACTCCACTCCCTTCCAACCCCTCGATCCACCTAAAGTCTTTCATTTTTAAGCCATCCACAACTTCTTCCAATCTCAGTTATTATTTAGTAAGTCGAGAATCTGAAATCTTCTTCCAATCTGAAAGTTTCTCTTTTTACGAATTTGTACTGTTGACAAGTTTATGGGCATTTAAATCTAAATTAATCTAAATTTAAAATTAATTTAAAATCCTTCAAAATGGTTGGAACTCTTTGAAAATCCTTTTTAGAACGGATTCTTGTTTTCGTGAAATTTTAGCTTGTCACGAGAATTTGAGTTTTCAAATTTGTGACACTATCTTCTTCATCGCTTCGTTGCATTGCTTCGTTTTGATTTAGTTCTCAGTTCAAGCCCGGTTTTTGCTTTTTGGAACACTTTTTACGAGCCTTTTTTGGCTTTTGTTTTGATTTGGAGATTTTATTGAAATCTTTTTTGAAAGTAGCTTTCGACTTTCAATTGGCCTCGTTTTCAATTTCTTTTTTTTCGATCTCCTCGTCCCAGGGAAATCATAGAACAGACACAAAAAGGCAAAAGGATTTCCATCTTTTAACATAACGCTATTTTTTATTATTTATACTATAGTATTTGATCTTACAATGTTATTACAAAGTATTTTTGGGGAATGTGATGGAATGTAGAAGATTTGAGGGACGAAGAAGCAATAGAGAGCAGAGAAAGGAATGGGGATGGGTGTAGAAACGGCTAATTAGCCTTGCATCAAATAACATTTTCCTCCCTTTTTAACGGCACTACCAAAAATCAACAAATAACTGAATAGCATACAGCTTTTTCTATCTTTTGAATAGGCTTATATTCTTATCTTTTGAAATAGGCTAAAATCCTCGAAAACATTTCAATATTTCTATGTACTTTTCCCAATTCTAATCTTTATCTTATACACATTTAGAAGCAAAAATGTTGGGTCCTTTAATATTTTTGGTCGCGGAGAGGCTGTCATTAGTGGATGCGAGAAGTGATTGGACGTATCCCTGGAAATACGATTCAATGTTTTTTGAAGGTTGATTAAGCTGATGAAGTTTCGAATAATGAATTTATTTACACATTAGATGAACTTTCAGGCCAAGACTACTGGGGAGTGCACTCAGAATGGGCAATGTGTAGCCGAGGAAAATTACAATCGCCAATCGACATCAATCCATCACTTCTTCTACACGATCCCTCGCTTAAGCCTATAAACATCGATCGGATATCGGTATGATTATAGAGGTTTTAAAAATATGCGAAAAATCTTATGCTTTGTATTGTCCTTGATCTTGCTGTTTTCTCGTCTTTTTTCTTTTTTTCTTTTAAACAATGGTGGTGGCTCCTTGGTGACGAAAGCTCACAGCCCTTTTGCTAGAGAATTCTCTTGAAAATTTGAATGTAAAAGAGGTAAAGCAAAATTCGTGTAACTCTCAAAAGAAAATCTATTCTATTTACTATTGAACTACGCCGAACTATTGGGTTGGTGAATTGAAAACTGCGGGCTATTGTCATATGTGACAGTTTGAGAACTTTCTTCAAAAGAAACCCATTTTGGTGTCAATGGAAAAGTTGTAGAGAATCAAAAATGAAGCTTATATCCAAATTTTCAGAACGATTCAAAAACTGGTTTTCAAGAAATGCCAAATTTACGAATTTTCACAAAACTTGCATTTTAAGCGAAACTACTAAGTGTTTCTTTTGGAAATTTGGCTATAAGCCTAATTTTTGATTCTCTACAACTTTTCTATTGACACCAAAATGGGTTTCTTTTGAAGAAAGTGCTCAAACTGGGACATCTCCAGTCCTCCATTTTTGAGTCTCACACTTGTCTCACACACAAACCAAAATCCTACTACAAAAGAGGAATCCGCAAATTGCTTGTAAAATGGGCAAAAGCCATCAATAATAATGGAAATTATTTCGAATGAATTGATGATTTTATGTTCAATAAATTTTAGTTGAAAGTCCGGCAGTTTTCAATTCACCAACCTAATATATCAACTACTCCATACTAAAAATGAGAAAATTCCAACCCAAACCTAATTCCATCATTGTTTTCATGACCGATTGCTCTGAAATTTTACAACTAACTGAACTAGAGATAGACATTCTCAGCTTGTAGATAAAATTTCAAAGTAATCGGCCAAGAAATGGCCGAGAAAACGAAGGTGGAATTGGGTTCGGCTTGGAATTTTTCCATGCCTAGTAACTACGCAATACCGGCACGACTTTTCAGCCAGTCTGATTGTAAAATGTACAGTATTTAACTCTTTAAGCATTTATCGATTTAAACATTTGCCTATTTAAGGTGCACTCTGAAATGGTGAATACGGGTCAAATGCCTCGGGTTCGAATCGGGAACAGTGCCCGCCGCCCTACCGCTAATCTTACTGGTGGCCCACTCAATACGTACAGGTAAACTAAAAAAAAAACTTCTCAATCTCAGTCTCATTATTTTGCACAAACATTTTCAGATACCGAATACAAAGAATAGACATTCACTTTGGTGTCACTGGACAATCGAATGGCAGTGAGCATGCCATTGATGGGAGGAAATTTCCGATGGAGGTTTTGAAAGAAAATCCTTTCACATATGAAAATCATTTCAGCTACAATTGCTTGCATTCAACGCCGATCTTTATGCGAATTTTTCTCAAGCTTCTCGATCAACGCATGGAATTGCCGCCATTGCAGTTCTTGTTGAAGTGAGGTTTAAATCTGAAATCAAAAAAAGCTTTTCGATTCAGTTTGGACCCGAAACAAATGCGGAATTGCTCAGGCTAACAGTGGCTGCATTGAGTGTGCAATTTAAAAATCAACGGGTTGATTTGGTTGACTTATCACCGTGGAAATTGTTGCCAAGGACTAGAGATTATGTGACATATGAGGGAAGTATCACCGCTCCCCCATGCGATGAAACTGTTCAGTGGATCGTTCTCAATCAGCCCATTCACATCACTCACAACGATGTAGGCATTCACCCGTCTACCAGAAGACTAACTATTACTAATCTACTATAGTCAATCTACTTTGGCTAATCTACTATAGCTGATCTACTACTACTAATCTACTATAGTTAATCTACTATAGATAACCTACTAAGTCAATCTACCAGAAGACTTTAACGATTTCAGTATGCGGAATGGTCAAGGTTATCGCAAAATTCGCCGAAAGAGGACGCAATGCCGATTGCGCCGAATTTTCGATCGCTCGTCGCTCCAAATCATCGCACTGTGCGCACAAATATTGCTCATATTTCTGAGGAGGTTTACCCTTTTCCAAAAAAACATATTTCAATTCTTTTACAGGACAAGTTCACTTGTGATACTTCGCGAATCACTTATAAAGTCTTCACAACGCACAATCAAAAATTGACCTAAAGAATAAAGAATTTACAATCAATAAAAATAAAACTAATAATCATTTTGTGACAGAAAATTGCATGACTCAGAAGGGGGAAATTTGAAACTGTCATTAATTTGTGTTGAAGAGGGAAGCAGAAAGTCGGAGCAGAAAAGGGGATACAGAAGGCATGTAAAATCAGAGGAGATCCGACCGTCTAATGGGCGGTGATAAGGCCACTGTGTGAAAAGTTTGAATGCCGAGGTGGTGTGTGTGCACACACACACAGACACAACACTGACACATCCCCCTTTCATTCCCCTTTTTATCCATTCGGGGGCATTTCCAAAGATGGCGACTGAATGGGGCAGAGACTCACTGAGATTTCTTATCACACCCCCGACTCGTTAAAGGTGTTCAAAGCCGATCGAATTACTCCCGTCCGGTGGCTCAATCCGCTTTCCTGCCTTTTTTTGTTGTAATCTCTTGAATCGATTCTCTTAACCAGACTACTAAATAATCTGAAGCTTACCTTGAAAAGCCTTATGTTTCACGGCGAAAATCTATCTTTGGGCATTACCGTAATCTTATCAGCAGCTCTTTTGTCTTTTTCCTCTCGGCTACAGTAACCCATATCTTTTTGCTGCGGTTTCCTAAACTTTCGAAACTTTCCTAAAGAAAGTTCGACTTTGCGAAATTTAACTGTTGATTTCTGGATACATGAACTACATGAATTACGATACTAACTCTTTTAAGTTCTCTTTTAAAGTTTAAAGTTCTATGCAATTTTCTGTTCACTTTGTTTCACTATTTGCTTTTCAGATATGTTAAGACGAATAGTGACATGTGCTTGTTTGATATTGGTTGTGCACAGTTTTCTCATCGATGATCGTTCTCCATTCACTTCACTCGCCAAATCCATCTTCAACGTTCTCAAAATCTCTCGGTAATCTATCAATTTTAATATTTCTTTTCCCTCTTGTATATCTTTCATTATTTCATTTGATTTCATTTGATTTGATTATTTGCCAAAGATTTTATAGATTTGCTTATTTGTGGTCCACTCTCTCTCTCATCTTTATCACGGGTGCAGCGCCACCGTTAACAATAAAAAAATCTTTTCCCTTTACTTCAAATAATTAAGGAAAACAAAAAAAGATTAGTCTTTTAGTCAATAGAAAATCGAAAATCAATTCATAGATTGACTTTAAAAGTTTAAGAAAAGAAAGCCCGGTGGATATGGAAAAAGCACAATGTGCAGAAGCGCCACCAAAGAGCCGGTAATGAGATATTCGAGAAAGAAAATCAAGTTTTCGATTTAGATTGCCGAGTAAAAAAGAACTACAAGAAATGCTAGAGAAATCGGAGGCTGATGATTATAAATATACGAAACATGAAAGAAAAAAGAGACAAGTTTTTAAGAGAAAGTAAAACGAGTAAACGAGTAAACGATTTTAGATCTCACGACAGAGCTACCAACAATACTTGGAAAATCTCGCCAAAGCTGATTATGATGTGAGAATTGAAGAAAGTGAGACATGAAAAAGAGATTATCTAAAAGAAATTCGAAAAAAACATTTAAGGATGGCAAAATATTTTGTATCCATTTGGTGGATGGGCGATGGACGAGCAATTGATGGGGCAAGCTGGCAGGGAAACACAAGCAAATCTCGGCTTTGATTGCCCGTTTTTTGGTTTCAGGTGAGTTTTGCATATTGTTGTGCATGTTTTGCTAATATTTGAATATAATTTGAATATAATTTGAATATAATTTGAATATAATTTGAATATAATTTATAGATTTAACTATACATTTGTCTATCCAATGGGTATGATCTCATTCGCGCAACCGCCATTTGTCACTCCGCCTTTTTCTTTTCCCAATCCATCATGGCCCAATCAACGAGATCATTCATTTATTGGTAAGAAAATGGAAAATAAAAAGATTAAGTCAATAAAAATTATTTTTCAGCTCCATTTTACGCGGATTCAATCTTTCAATGGATTGGGAATACAAAGATTTCAAATGTTTTCTTTCGCTCAGTGCATAGGCCAAGAGTAAATTCTTAGATGAAAAAAAATGATAAAACGATTTTCAGTTAGATAATGATGACTTTTATGATCCTTCTCTAGAGATAAACGATCGATTGTACTCACCGGTTGACATATGTCTTTGAGTTTTGACTATGTTTTTTTAGAACAATCAATACGGAAATCAATATGGAAATCAATATGGAAATCAGTACGATGTCTCACAAAATAACAACCCTTTTCAACAATTTCAGCAACAGCAACAATCTTTCGTAAATCAAGTATAACAGCTTTAGTTAAACGTTTAACAATTTGGACATTTGATACGACTTCTTTGCCATTGGCAATCTAACTTTGAGCTCAAATACCTTGATGTTGAGCTGTTCAATTTGAATATTCTTGATATCATTGGATGCGTCAAGTCTTTCTATGTCGATTTGTAGAAAAACTATTTAAATTGGACTGCCCAACACTAAGGGATTTGAGCTCAAAGTTATACACTCTGTCAAAAAATTATAGACGCACCCTGTTTTTTGCTAGTTTAGACCCGGATATAAGTGCTAGTCCAGTGAAAAGTATTTTTTAGTTTCTTTAATGTAAAAAAACAACCCATGCAAAATTTCAAGTCATTTCACTCATCCAAAGTACTTTATCGTACAAAACGTTTTAGCAGCTGTCAAAAATTATAGACGCACTTTTATTTTATCAAGAAAAAGTTAACAGAAATAAAAATAACAACACAAACCAAATAAATTAATAATGTGTGGCCCCTCCTTGCTTTAGCCCAACTTCAAAAAGACGTCTCGGCATCGAAGAGACAAGGTCATGGAGCGCTGTTGGCTGAAGCCGATTCCAGGCTACTTGAATGGCTGTTAACTTTTTCTTGATAAAATAAAAGTGCGTCTATAATTTTTTGACAGCTGATAAAACGTTTTTTGTACGATAAAGTACTTTGGATGAGTGAAATGACTTGAAATTTTGCATGGGTTGTTTTTTTACATTAAAGAAACTAAAAAATACTTTTCACTGGACTAGCACTTATATCCGGCTCTAAACTAGCAAAAAACAGGGTGCGTCTATAATTTTTTGACAGAGTGTATTACTAATGGCAAAGGGGGCGGGGCTTATCAGTCGGATAAGCTTTGATAAGCCCCGCCCCCTTTGCCATTGGCAATCCAACTTTGAGCTCAAATTTCTTGGTTGATTTTGTTTTTATTTTTGTACCAATCGATAGAGAAAAGACTTGGCGCATCCAATGATATCAAGAATATTCAAATTGAATAGCCCAACATCAAGGTATTTGAGCTCAAAGTTAGATAGCTAGTGGGGAAATTTCCGATAACCGTTTAGCAAAATAATCTAGGGGACTCAATATGGAGAAAACTTTGGCAACTTTGGTAAAAGAAAGAAGCGTCAAATGCCGGGAAGAATCTCACAACCTGGTAAAAAAAGCCCAACTTTGATAGTCTAAATAAAATAAAGGAATGGTGGTGGATCCATTGTTGTTAGACAACATCACGCAACATGTGCAAGAAGGATACACGGGGGCAAATGGATGGAGAGCCGAACATGCGTTTATCGTTACTTGGTATCGGGTAGGTCTTTTCTAGGGTCACTCAAAGTTGATTCAATATTTCAGATGGCTTATGGTGGAGCCCCACGAGCACTTGATGTCTCTCAATTTGAACATGTCAAAGATTGGCAAAACACTTTCCAATTAGTAAATTATGTGTGAAAGAATGTGTCGAAGAAAGAGTTAAGGTAATAGCTTCGGATGAAATCCGCACATTTGCAATCTACAACTACGCAAGAGTCAATTGGACATCGAGTAACGAAGCCGGAGGTGGAAAAGGGAGAATTTGTAGAAGAAAAACAGTCATTTTAAGGGCTAAACGGTTTTGGAGGTAAACAAGCAGCGATGGCCGGTTTCAACGGAGGAAACGGGACCGGATGGTATCCATTACCATATTCAGGGCATGGTGCGTGGGATTTTGGATGAATAGAGTGTATAGCAGTGGGATTATAGTAGTAGCAAAAGTTACAAAAGCCATCAATGCATATGCCATTAGGTTAAACGATAATCCGCTTACAGGAAGAATTTGGAAACTCGGCTACTTTTCAAATGTTCTCACGCCGGGGCGCTGGGTTCACCGAATTGACGAGCTCATCATTCCAGCCGGTTGCACCAATGCTTCTGACGGTAAGATTTCATTTTGCGTCTTGAATTCATGAGATTTAAGGTGGTGTCGTGTTGGCTCCACCATTTGGCCCAATGCAGGGCGGTGTCGCTATCAATATTTCCGGTCCTTGTCTTCGAGAAAAGGATGTTGTAAAGGTTTTTGAGAAAGAAAAGGTGTTTCATCTTTCCTTTTAGGTGACGTTTGAGTCATGGGAAGTAAATTGTAAGCGAATAAGCCGGGTCCGGGCTCGTTGCATAATGCCGATGTTTCACAAAACAGGAATGGTAAGTTGTCTTGAGATTGCTTTGAGAGTCTTTGGGTCTAGGTTCCAGTCCGAATGTCTCGAGATGGTGGTCAAAGTTTTCCCTTTTTCGGGAAATTCTATATTGGTAATAAAAGTTTAAGTGATTTTCGACTAAATAATTTTCTTTAGTGGTTCCCGATCGGGCACCTCCTGGTGTACAGCTTATTGATGCTGTCGATATTGCTACAAATCGCTGGTATCAACCATATGCTGATTCCTTGAAAATGGGATGGCAAGTAAGAATGAAATCCTAGTTTCTTTAAAAAGCCCAACACAATTAGGCGCTGAACTTGACATACAATCTTGGAGCCAGGATCGATATATCTTTGTATGGATATTGGGAAGATGCTGACAGGTAGATGGCGAATGATCGATTAAATAAACATACTTTTTGAGATCTCATTTCGAGAGGATTGACTACTTGGCAAGAGGCGTCACAAACACTGGCGCTTATGAGTTTAAACCGGCGCAAATACAACGACAAAGGCTTCTTACCGTAACTGCAATCTATCAAAATCATAAGTGAAATGTTCTGAAATAGGATGCTTGGAAGAAATTTCATTTTGGTTTTGTTCAAGTAGCGATCAGTGATGTTGAGGATGGAGTTCTTTGGAGTCGACCTACACCATTTCCTTGGTACTTTATGATTTAATGATTTTAAATTTTACTTTTCATTTAGGTATCATTTACCGGATTGGCGGTATCATTGGGGCAAAAATTGGGCTTTAGACATGTGCATTGATTGGTTTGAATATGATGGAAGAAGAAGGAATTTTCAGGTTCACACCTCATCTCTGGGTTGTTACAATTTTTTTTGTTTTCAGATTGATCTCACCAAAGAACTTCCGTGCCCTTGCAAACTGTCGCAAGTAAGCTGGAAAAAGTGCGGGTGGCTACTTTGAGCCAAATTTTTTTTGGGTCAACTGACAAGGGAAGATCAACTGGCTGAGCCGGTCAAATGCTATGCAACCTGTACCATGCGACGTAGAATTTGATGCTGATTCCAAATATGTATTCCGTTTTTGCTAAATGATCTGTCAGGAGTTGTCAAAAATTTTTTGTGTGGTCACCCTGAAAATCTGGTCATTTGGGATCTTAGTGGCCTCTTGGGCAACAACCATTTGGTGCTGCGGTGGCCGAGTGGTAAGCCGCTCGTTTCAAAAACGAGCTCTTTTTTAAAATGAGACCTCGCAAGTTCGGTCCCGACTTTTGATTTTTCTTTTGCTTTTTTTCAAGAAGTGTTGAAGTGCAACTGCTGGCAGATTGTCATTTAGCAAAAATAGAATGCATATTAGATAGATCTACAAAATGACACCAAAATCATAAAGACTGGTCCACTTAGGAGAAAGTTATTGTGAGTTGCGCAAAAAAATTTAGCACAAAGTAGCCCCTAGAAAAAGTCAGATAAAATAAAAATCAAATTCAGGCTTTACTTGATGTCGGAAGGTTTATGCCAATCATGAACTGTGATAAAGATGGAAATATGGAATGTCCCTTCAATAAAGGATCTCAACATTGCATTCAAAGTGCAACCGCGACGTTTGGTTAAACGGTAATGCAAAATTAAGGCATGCTTTTAGATGGACAGGTTCCGCACAACAATGTTGCTATGATTGGGACGGTTTCTTGATGTTTACCGATGATTGGGAACCCGATGGTGATTACAGCCGGTGAGCGATTTCATCATTTTTATGAACTGTAAAAACTTTAAGATTTTTCCAACCCGGAATCCCAGCAAGAGCTCATGCATTTGGAGCAAGACCATACCTAATGCCTCCATTCATCCCAACTCTTTCACATTATCAACTCGATGAACTTCCATACAGAATGTGTTGCCAGTTCGTTTTCACAATTTAATTGAAACTTCTGATTTGATCAGAATAAGTTAATTTAATTGAAATTTAGATGGAGTGATCATTGTGAATTCTTCTATTGGAGAAGAATGACCAATGGATGCCAAGATTATAAAGCGCCAGCTGCCGGGTAAATGCATAACTTTATTTGGTCTCAAAATCGTTTTCAGTTATATTTATGGAGAGCCTCATGTGATCACTTTTGATGGAATCAGATACACTTTCCCTGGAAAAGTAAAAATTTAGTCAGAGAAAGAAAATTCATCAAACAATTAGGGCTATTTCGTTTTGGTGATGAATGAGAATCCAAAGAGCAAGCTGATGATACAGATCCGACTTGAACAACCCGATGATACCCTTTGTAAGCATTAGATAGTTTTGGATATTGAAACAATGCTAACAATTTGATAAATGCGAAAAATCTTATTATCAGGGCACTCGCATGTGAATGCGACAGTGATTACCGGAGTTGCCATTCAAGATGGAGATGGTTCAATCTTGCAAGTACATTTTTTTATTTTAATTCGAAATTGTAATCCGAAAATACAAGCTATGCCAAGCTTTTTTTTCACCTCACTTACTGGGTTTATAGATTTTAAGGTCAAAATATCAATCAATTCAATCAATATCAATCAATCAATTTTAAGGTAAAATATCAATCAATTTTAGAATTTTTTTTAGTACTATTTATAGATATTTTTTCTTAAATAAGCTGAACAAAATTTCTTTATAATATGAGTAGCTTGAGTAGGGTAAAAGCTTGAGTAGGGTAAAAGCTTGAGTAGGGTAAAAGCTTGAGTAGGGTAAAAGCTTGAGTAGGGTAAAAGCTTGAGCTGAAAGAAAATTCAGTTTTTGAGCTTTGGCCAACTTTAGGGAAATGACAGAACTTTTGGCATACCCTGTAGAACCTACTGTTTCTCCCAAGATTTTCTATATCAATTTTACAGGCATTTGCTCGAAAATCGATGCGTCGTTGGCGTTATCGAATGGATGTGATTGTTGATGGAACACCTCGATATTTTGATATGCCTTTCTGGAAATATCAACAATTCAATCGTACTTTTCCACCCCAAATCTCATTCACTCGCAAAATCTAGGACTAAGTGTTCGCAATCCTCTTCAAAACATGAATCAATCGGAAGTTGTCGTGATGACACAGAGTGGAGTCGGCATTCGAATCGGGGAAAGTTATGGTAAGATCCGATAAAAGATCTTTAAAAAATTGGTCTATATATTCTTTTAGGAATGCTCGATGTGATGGTCACTCTTCCACCAAATTACAATAGCACTTGCCGGTGCGTTTATTGATGTGCTTTTTGGTATCAATGACCATTTCAGACCTGGACAAACAATGGCAAATCAGAATCTCCAAACAATCAACCCTCAAGATCGATGCTATACAACTTTGGGACTTCTTGGTGCAATATTTTTGATTGAAATTTTGAAATGTGTAAACTTAGGTGTTTATAACAATGATCAAACAGATGATCTCACAACATTGACTGGACAAAGTATTCGGTAAATACGTTACTTAACTCCCTCTGGAGCAAGGCAGATCGAGTGCCTTGTGGTGTAGTGGTTAGTACAGTTGTCTAGTGAGCGAAACCCGGTCGAGTCCCGGTCGCGCAAGTTTTTGATCTGCCCTAGTTCCAACTCGTTAAATTCTTTCTTTCAAAAAAACCACTTTTAGAGCATCTGGTGATACGCACAATGCTGGAACGACGCAAATGATTTATGATCAATTTGGGACAACTTGTAACTTAGATACAACTTTGAATCTTTAGATCTATGACGATAAAACCATTATTTAACTTCTCTTTATTTCTTTTATTTCTTTAAAAAGAAATTTTCAGGGAGAATCGATGGTCGAAATGATCGAATTGGTAATTTACTCTTCTCGGAAAAATACAAGCCTATCTATAATCCGCTCCTTTTCGCTGATCCGACGTGAGTTGCAATGAAAATAATCTCAAATTCATCGAATTTCAGTTATTATCCTGTATTTTGGCCTTCCAATGTGCTTGATATGAATGCGAGTCGGGTTTTCTCAATGAATCAAGTAATTCAAGTGAAATCAAATGAAAATTTGCTGTTTACAGGTGACGGTCGCATGTCAAGGGCTTCCAGAATGTGAATATGATTATATCATGACCGGGCGAAGAGAGGTGATCTTTGAAGTCTTAATCACCGAATCAGTCAATCATTGTTTCAGGTCGGCTTGCAAACGATGGAGAAACAAAAGAATTTCCTGAGTTTGAGTAAAAAAGGAAGCGTTCAATGTAAGAGATATACTTTATTTTTTTTTATTTTAAAATATCAAATTTATAGTAAAATCTTGTGGGCCATTATTGAAAAAGGAAGGTGTTATAAAGACTCCACCAGCAGCAAATTACCTTGAAGGAGATACCGTGGTATGTGTGAAATGTAAAATACTGGATATATGAAGTTCCGGATTTTGTCCCCAACTTTGAAGCACTATAACTCGAGAACTATACATTGGAGTCTAGAAGTGTTATAGTGATTTTGAAAGCTTAAAACAAGATCTATAAGATGATATATTTTGTTTTTTAATTCGCTTTAATTTCCTTTCCAAAAAAGCATGGTTTCAGAAAGATTGGAGCACGAAATCTATAAGAAAAGGCGTGTTAAAAAAGTGAATTTTTGAATTTTTGACACCCTACTTTACGCGCCCTAAAATTGGTCAAAAATCAAAGCGAATCAAAAAACAAAACATGCCAGCTGCTAGATTTCGTTTCAAGCTTTCAAAATCACTATAATACTTATAGACTTCAATGTATAGCTCTCGAGTTATAGTGCTTCAAAGTTGGGGACAAAATCCGGAACTTTATATATCTTTTGTCCGGTACTGTACCTCTAATGTTTTCAATTTGAAAAGAAAATCGTTTCCTTTTAGGTATTCTCTTGCAAACCAAAATATTTCATTCATGGAGATATCGAGCGAACATGCAAAAATGGAACATGGTCACCTGGCTGGTGGGCCTGGTGCAGAGGTTGAGGAAAGTCTTTGAAAATTTTAAGCATTGATTTCAGATCGAAATCTCGAGTATGCGCTCAAATGGATGACCGCTTTGCTTTCAATTTTTGGTTGTTTTTGTTGAAAATGCATATTTGTAGTTAGCAAAATTTTAGGCATTGTTGTTTTGATCATTGTTTTCTATTGTATTCTCTGGGAATTGCGAAAGCGGCGAGTGGCTGAGAAGATTGCCGACGGAAAAACGAAAGATGTATCAAGGAGAACATGGAATAAAGGACGAAACTCGCCAACACCACAAAATACAATGTAAGAGAGTTATGCTAAAACAAAGATATTTATATATTATTGTAAGCAAAATCAACTTATCTGAGAGATTTAGCGATGAGAAGACACCCCTTCAAAATGGAACATTGAGTGATCTGAATGGAGAGCCGATCAAGACAAATCCTTACGCACAAGTAGTGTTTAGCTAAACTGGGCTATGGGATAAATGTTAAATGTGCTGTATGTTAAAATATGTTGTGTCTCGATTTGAATTGATTGAAACAATCTCAAGCGCTACAATAACTTGTTTTTTTTACTGTTATCTTGATTGTTTCTTAGTTTTTATGAATTCATAAAAGGTTCTGCGTAAGAAGAGAGTAGAATAGCATTAATGAACACTCTATACCGAGTTTTGAAGGTTTTTTTTTTTGGGTATTTTGGGATGAGGAAGCGCTTGAAATGATCGATGTTACTTTTTTGTTCTCCAGTTGGTCTATATGCCGTAAAAGTCACGAAAAATGACAAAAGTTTGGTTAAAAACTTAAATCAGAAAGATTCTAATGAAAATTTTAAAAAATCAATTCAAATCGGAGACAACAAATATATGTTACGTTCGATCTTGAGTGAAGTGAGGTTAAACGTTCGATCTAGAATCAAGCTGATCACGCTAAATCTAAGTCTGAATCCGACGTCCGATTTAAAGCGATCGGCTTCATTCTAGATCGTTTGATCTAGAATGAAGGTTTTCTAGATCGTTTGACCTCACCTCACTCTAGATCGAACCTCGATCGGACTCTAGATCCGATCTAGAATCAGTCTAGATGAGATGGATTTCTAGATCAGATGTAACATATATAATAGTAAAGAAATGAATGGCAAAGAATTTGGAACCAAGGGGGAATTGAACCCTCGACCTTCTGCTTAATAGATAACTTAATGAGTAGTTGAATATCCATATTTTTAATGATCGAATACTTTCAGCGAATTTCACCCGATAGCCTGATCGCCCCACAAGCTTATGTAGACAGCTATATGCCACCGCGAAGGATCGGAAGTGGTACAGTGAATAAAATCTTTCGTATTTACTTATTTATTATACCGTATCTTCTCTAATAGTAGTGCACCCTGAGCGTCGCCTAAATTCCTCGAAATCTCGAGAACCGCTTATCAGAACCTATCGATGTGAGGTCGAAAAATGTAGCTGACGATGAGATCTAGTGGGCGATTAGAGTGTTGAGCTTCTGGGAAAACTTGGAAACTGTTAAATAGGCATGAACTCGGCTCGACTATGAAAAATACGGTGACCTTTTTCCCAAAAAACAGACAAACTTTAGACTTTTCTAATAGTAGTGCACCGCTTCGACTAAATTCCTAGAAATCTCGACAACCGCTGATCAGAACCTATCGATGTGGGGTCGGAAAATGTAGCTCACGATGAGATCTAGTGGGGGATTCGAGAGCTTCTGCAAAAGCTTGGAAACCGTAAAATAGTCATCAACTGTGCAAAAATAGTGCACCCCGGCTCGCCGGAGTGCACTACTATTAGAGAAAATACGGTATATTATATCGTATTATAATGTACTGTTGGGTATTTGAGTTTTCTGAGTTTTAACGCCTTTCATGAGAGTTTCAGGAAACGCCGAATGGAATGGGAACGATGAAGTGATCAATGGATACACGCTCGGCCCACAACCCACAACGGTGAGCTTTGTATAAAAGATTTTTTTCGATTACTGTAACTATTATCTTTACTATGGCTCTTGTAGAATTGTTTATTGTATTATTTGAAGAATTTTTCAATTTCAGTACGAAAGTTATCCCGTGCAATCCCAAGGGAATGCTCATCTAATGCAGAGCAGTCAAATCTAACATAATTCTCGCCTTTCATCTCATCACTTATTGTTGAATTCATTTTCTTTCATTTGTACATAAATTTTTGTTATTTTTGTCATTTTTTGAAAATTTATTTATCGAAAAAAATCTCTGAAATAAACTACTGGACAATGAAATATGATATTTGAAAAAAGATCATCACTTTCGAGCGTCTTTAACTCCCTTGTCTTTACCGTATTTCTAAATATTAATATTACCATTGTGTAGCCCTTGAAAAGAGCTTTCAGAAAATGTATAACACTAATAGTTTAAACTCAAAGACAATGGAGTTACAGACGCGCGAAAGTGACGATGGTTTTTTTCAAATATGATATTTCATTGTCCAGTACTGTAGCATATAAAAAATGAGCTGGCGAAATTTGGCAATCAAAATAGCGAGAATGGGATATGCACAACCTTTACAAAATCGCAAATATAATACGTCGTCGATTAAGTTTTTTAAATATTTACAAAATAAAAAGAAAACATAATATAAAACATAATTTTATAAAAGTAATGCTTGTGAATCTTACTAAAGAATTGAATTTCAGAAAGTTTTACATTCAAAAATCAATGAATGAGTTTCCAAATTAATGAAAACTCAATAAAAACTCAATAAAAAACAATAAAAAACAATGAATTAGTATTTTTTTTTTTAAAAAAACCCTGTTTCTTAAAGGCATTTATCAATTTTTGTAAAGAAAAAGAAGACATAGGCACAAAAATTTGAGATGTCAAGGCTATCACAAAGAACTTTTTGAAATAAAACTTCTTCACTGATTAAAAAAGTTTCTGGAAACGACGATAGCTCAAAGCAAATTGCCAAATTGACATTATCATTGTAAAAAATGCTTCACATGATTACCTAGATGAAAGAAATTTTCAAATGATGTTAAGAAAGGTTTTCTTTTGGAAATATATGGATAGGCAAACGAATTTCTTGAACTAAGGATTAGAGATGGGTAAATTTTGAGACGAGTCGATTCATAAATCGACTCGGATCATTTTGCTAAAAAAGTGACTCGACTCGACTACTTTTTTGGGTTTTTTTATAATGATTTGACTCGACCCAAAGATAGGCGACGATTCACAGAAAATTGGAGGCGCTGACTCCGCTGAAAAAAAGAGTCGAAAAGAGCCCATTTCTCCTAAGGATATCAAATATTTGTAGAGGGTTTTTAAATTTTTAGAAAGCTTTATGATAAAAAATGATTTGTTTAAGCGATCACACATTTGCCTCCATCGTTTGCACGGGGCCTTACGATATTCCCCTTCGAAACCTCAATCTCGAACAAGACTTTCTCGAAAATCTGCTGAATTGCCTGAAAAGTTCAACTTTTTACATGTCAACGAAACTAATGGTAAAAATCAAAATTTCTTTGAATCGGAAAATCGGCGGTACTTTCCGATTATATTCTACAACTTGAGTCTCGTCTACAGTCTACAAATAGTCTACAAATTCATTCAACTGTAGTCAACTGTAGTCAACTGTAGTCAACTGTAGTCTACAAATTCATTCAACTCTACAAATCCTTTTCTGCGCATTTTAAACTTAAATTTTATATTATCAATTTTATTTGAAATTTCTTAATCGAGATGGTATGAATTTTGTTTTAAAAATAACCCCCATTTAATGGGAGTGGGACAAATGCGACCTTTTTTTGCGCACCCGGACATTTGCGCACCTTTTTTTCCGCACTTAGCTCATTAGCGCACCTTTTTTCCGCCTTTTAAAAGAGCTCTAAAAGCTAATATTAACCAATTTCTATTCCAAATGTTGTTTTTCTAGATAACTTTAGGGCGTAGAATCGAAATTTTGACATATCAGAGCTTGTGGAAGCGAACGGACGGAGTTATACAAAGAGAAAAATCAATAATTTTCTGTAATTTGACCTAGCCGTTTTGTCTTTCAAATTGGTTCCACACGCTCTGATATGCCAAAATTTCGATTCTACGCCCTAAAATTACCTAGAAAAACAACTTTTGGAATAGAAATTGGTTAATATTAGCTTTTAGAGCTTTTTTGCTCTAAAAGACGCGAAAAAGGTGCTCTAATGGGCTAAGTGCGGAAAAAAAGGTGCGCTAATGTCCGGGTGCGCAAAAAAAAGGTAGCATTTGTCCCACTCCCCATTTAATAGAAAAGAAAAGTTCCGGAAATATAACCGGAAAGTACCAAATCGGCAAATTATAAATCATGAAAGGTCACGTTTCGGACGTCAGCGAACGAAGAAAACTTACTGGCAAAGCCTCCTAGATTGAGTTAATGAATTAATGAAGAATTCATCTAATAGAAATGTTAGTTGAGTTAATTTGGCTATAACGGCACAAGAGTAGCAGCAGCAGCTCTCACAAATATTGAGTTAGAGCGTATGAAATGAAATGGCCACAAGTTAGAGCGTATGAAATGGTGGCGACTTTAGAAAATTTTTCTGAAACATATAAAAGCTCCATATAATCAAAAAGATCTATGATTGCTCGAAAAAATCGCTTTTAAGAGATTCTGAAAAGCTTTTGTTTTGTTGATTTTGTTGATTTTAAAGGCTCCTAAACGCGATCAGTCAATCAATGAGAAGGAGTCCGTTTGACTTTTTTTTTCACATAAACTTAACATGATGCCAAAACAAAAAAGTTAGAGCATATTTTATTACATAAGTAGCCAAATTTTTGCAGTAATATCGTCAGTCATTTACTCTAAATAAAAATTTATAAATTTTCTGAAAAAAATGATTTTTTAATCATAAAGACTACTCGATTTTATAAAAGTTTCTGTGAAAGTCGGCGCCATTTCAGCCTCATCAACCCAATAGATTGTGTATTTCAGGAATTTCGTTTACATTCTGGCCCTTATATTGACTTTTTTTTCACCGTAACTCTATTCTTGTACCGTTGTAACCTGGTGACGTGCAAAGTGATTGCAATCTTACGTTGTTATCCTTGGCGGAAGTCTCGAGAAAGTGTGCTTGCCATTGAGCGGCGAGTGACTGTCCTTCTTCTTTTGTTACACTCCGACTGTTGTACTGCAAGTCGCTCTTGTTTCCCACCAACACCAAAGGGATTCTGAAATATCTTGTCACGTTTTTCTTTTCCGTCTTTAAGACAAGGAAAGCTATATGAAGAAAATGAAAGGCGAAAATGAAATTAACCTCATATCACCGACATTGTCTCGAATTTTATCGTAAATCGTTTGCATCACTTCAAAGCTAGAAATATTTGAATTAAAAAACGAAACTTTTTTTGTTGCTTACGATCGTCGATCATCAATTGCATAGACAAGAATGAATCCATCAATATCAAAAGAACATGAGCGAGGAAACAATGAGTACTCCTAAAATATTGGATCAAGTTTGGTGAGGATGGTGGTTCTGACGAGAAAAATCGCTGTGATATTGTGAAAAATCGCTATATATATATACTCCTAAAATATTGTGTGCATATTTGCAACATTTTTATGCAACAAAATGCAACATATCAGTGATCAAATTTCTAGTTTTACAACTAGTCCACATTTTTAGAGTTTACAGTCTACAACTTCCTTCATTCAAGGTTTTATATTCTATAAAATGTTGTACCTGTTGTCCGGCAGTGTCCGTGATACGAAGAATATAGTCCCGATTTTGATATTTGTAGTTCTAGAAATTTTCCTATTAAAGAAATAACTTTTCTTAAACGAATATAGGAAAAGTTGATGATGCTTTTAGCACTAGGTTTTTCCTTTAGCTTTTTCCTTTAGCTTAATCAATGAACCTTATTATACATGTCTTCAACGGTCGTATCATACGCATCGGGGAAAGTTCCCTTCACAAAACGCAAAGTGATCGACGATTTTCCTGGATTTTTTTTTCGTTAAATCGATAGAAATTGATTTTAGATTTAGCGGTGAAACGATCCATTTCATATATTTTATTTTTTTTCTTCAAACCCACCAACACACGGATACCCCATCACAGCGATTTTTCTCGTCAGAACCACCATCCTCACCAAACTTGATCCAACAGCACTAAAAAAATTGATTATTAAATAAAAAGAAATGAAAATTGTGAAAGGTTTGACTAATTGAGCCTTTCACATGAGACTTTTGAGAGAATGAAAACGGAGCGCTACAAACTACAAACAAGCACATGGAATGGCAAAAGGATAACCCTTGTTTAATAGAGATTACAGATTCAAATAAAAAGATGTTAAAGATATTTTTGTTAAAGAAGATTTTACAATTAATAGACAATGAGTAACTAGTGAACAAAATTTATATCAAAAATCGAACATTTGTCTTTTCAAATCTTATCTTTTCCAAAATCTAATGGTGAAATGGTGAGAATTTTTGATTTTGAATAGAGTTATTCATTATTTACTGAACAAAGGAAACGAAATATTCTCTGGACTTTGGAATTACCCTGGAAATCAACATTTACAAAATGTTCGTTTAGTAAAGAGTTAAGAGTTGAGCAATTTACACAAAAGAGTATTAGTCCAAAATTCAAAGGAAACTTAAAATGTCTTGGTGTTAAAATGGACTTTGGAATTACCCTGGAAATCAAAATTTACTTGTTAAAATGTCTTGTTAAAATGTTGCAAAAGAAAAGAAAACACATTAAAAATACATATCTTTAAATAATTCTATTCCTCGAGGGTGAAAAAGGAGCGATTCTAGGAAGTTCACTCGTATACCTCGTGGCAACCATTCGCACTTTCTCTCGAATTTTTAACGAAACCCCTCAAAAAAAGGCTTTGTTCTTGAGGGGAAGGCTAAGCTCTTGTTTTAAAAAACGTTGATTTGTTTCCTTAAAATTTTCCTTATCGATTTTTGAAATGTCTTTTGGCGATGATCCGGTTTATCGAGGATATGTTGATCGCCGAAATCGGGGTAAAGTTTTCCGGGGAATCGATCGATTACTGCTTTTTTTTGACTAAAACCATTACTCGATCGATTACTGCTTTTTTTTTGACTAAAACCATTACACTAAAGCCAGAATACGGTAGTTTTTTTCTTAAAAATATTTCAAATTGAGGTTACAGGCTTAAATAGCCTTTAGAATTGGACCAGAAACTTTCAGAAATGGCCTCGAGTGGAACAAGCTCTGATGGACGGCCATCTCGAACAGGAAGTGCGGATTATAAAATGTAAAAAAAAACAAGGAAATAAATCAATGTGCTCAACTATATTTAGGCCAAATTATGGGTATAAATCTGATGGATATCAATCAGGATCAGCCAATCTTGGAGATGATCCTGTTTCTGCGGTTTGCTTGCTTTAACTTGCTTGCTTGCTTGCGAAAAGCTTGCTTTAACTGTGAGAAATGTTTAGGTTCGAACTTTGAGAAATCAAATGAGACAAAAGATGTCCAACTATCAATCAATGAATCTACCAGTAAAAGTTCGAAATTTTCGTATTGAAATAAACTAATGAAAGAATAATGTAGGCTCATCTTTGTCAAACGGCTTGTGATACCTTAAGCCGAGCTGAAGGGCAATTAATCGGAATGAATAATAAAAGAAGAAATGCACTAATGGTCGGTGATAGTGGAAGTGCTGATCAAATGAAAGTGCAAATGGATCAAGTGAGGAGGTTCTGAAAAAAAAACCACCGACATTTATTAGGTGAAAGATGATGCGATTCGAAATGCTTATGCTGATCTTGTCACCGATTCTAATCAGGTAAATTTCGTAGAAAAATGTCTACCAAAGTAGATAGATGAACGCGTATGGAGTGGATTCAAAGTGGACTCCACAAGAAGAATCCCATCCACCGAGAAATCCCACTCCACAACCATTGTTGCCAAGGCCATCGAGTGATCGGTTGGTTAAATATTAACAAAACTAATTTGTTATGTATTACTAGTATGCTTTTCTTTGAATTCACTAGGCATGGCTAGACCTGTGCGCTTTTGTTTGACTAAATAACAAAAGCAAGTTTTCCGTTTACGTTTTTCCGTCGCAGTGCGTAGCTGCTCCATTCCTTGGGTTTTGCTTTATTCAATACACAAGTGTGAAAATGTTTCAACAAATGTTTCAACGAAGCTCAAAGAAACAATGTGTTGATCCAGAAACAAAAAGGAAATCACTTTTATGAAAATTGTGGAAGTACACTACTGGACAATGAAATATCATATTTGAAAAAGATCGTCACTTTCGCGCGTCTGTAACTCCCTTGACTTTACCGTATTTCTAAATATTAACATTACCATTGTGTAGCCCTTGAAAAGAGCTTTCAGAAAATGTATAACACTAATAGTTTAAACTTAAAGACAAGGGAGTTGCAGACGCGCGAAAGTGACGATCTTTTTTCAAATATGATATTTCATTGTCCAGTACTGTATCTCGAAAAAAAGAAATCAACTTTCACAAGAAAAAAGTGAGAGAAAATTCTCTTCTTCTGACCAGGCTTGCAGAAAATTGAACATCTTTTAGTTTTTATAGAAAAATTCCACAAATGGAGCAGCTACGTTTTTCCGTCGCAGTGCGTAGCTGCTCCATTCCTTGAGTTTTGCTTTGGCAATCAAAAGATATGAAATTTTTCGCTTACAAACCTGAATCTGACTAAATAGGGAAGGAGGTGTCCTTTCATACGCAACTGAGCACGACATTGTTTAAGATACGGTATTTCTGGTGTCTTATTAGATTGCGGCAGCTTTTTGGTGATTCGTCGTCACAAATATGATCTTTTTTCCATAGAACAGTTTTATAGAAGACCATCAACTCGTACCAGAACTCCAGAAAGAAAGAAAACACCTGAGCGTGCAAGGAGTCAAGATGGGAGAAGGTACACATAGTCGATCAGCTTTTCTTTTCACTTACGATTAATATTTTAGAACAAAAAGTCGTCGTGGACCGTCAAATGAGCGTTTCCGGCCGAATAGTGTTGCTAGAAAGGTAAACAAAAATATTATGCACCTGAAATTTTTTTTTTTCCTATCTTTAGCCTCGTCGACAACGTCGCCCTCCTAGTCCAGAAGGAAATCAAACGCCATTTTCAATGCAAAAAGGCCCAAATCCTCAACCTGAATTTGATGTTAGAAAATTTTTTTTTATAGTTTTCATAAAAGAAAATTACAGCCTGATATTCGTAGAAATGGTCGACTCGCTGAAATGGAGAGGCGTAAAAGAGGAGAGGTATTTTCCAAGAATCGACATTTATTTTCATTTCTTTTATTCCACAGTTTATTCAACCAACATCACAAGCTGAAGCAAATGCCATGTTATTTGATAATCCTTATAAACCGCCAAATCAATATGGGTACCTCATATTATACTTAAAATCAACTGCTTATATTTTAGACAATGCCCATATTGTGACCGAGTTGAGCCAAGCTTTGGTAGAAAACAGAATTTGGAGAGACATTACACAACTGATTGCCCAATGCTTGTGAAATGCCGCTACTGTAATAAAGTTGTTCAAGTAAGAAAAAAGAATTTGTCATTTTGTCAATTTGAAAAATATCTATAGGCAAATTATGATTTAAGCTCACATTTAGGCTAGAGAATTGACAAATCATTATTTGGATCGTTGCGTTTTCTTGGAAGACAAAATGAAGCCGTGTCCTTTGTGCGGATTGGCAGCTGATGAGCATGATATTGCGGATGGAGTATCACATCCATTATGTCGAGGTATAAGATGCAACAAAAAGCCAAGTTTTGTCAAAAAGGAATCGAATTCGAGCAAAAAAATATGCAGCGCTCGTTTTGTATGCAAACGTTTTATCCACTATACCATCGAGTGACGTTCGAGGTCCGTGAGAGAACCCTTATAAAGGCATCTTTCTTCGACTCGAAATTTTCGCATTATGTCGAGATATAAGATAAAACTTTATGAAATAATAGTTCGGGATGTGGTTTTATTAAAAACTACGGTACAAAACCCGATTTCTAAGGTCGAATGGCTCCATCGGGTGCTCGTTGGTGTGCTCTTTGTGCTGTGGCTGTTGATGACAACAAGGAATCATGGAAGGTATTTCCACCAAAAAGATCATTGAAATTGAAATCTGAAATCATTTAAGAGACATCTTCAATTAGGACCAAATGGTTGTTACAACAATCCACGTTTAAATGGAGAAGAGGCTTTGTTGGAACGACGAGGTTTAGATGGAAGAGATCCGATGGCACCAAATGATGGCACATATGATCCAAATAATCCAAACGGTAATAAAATGAAAGCTAGTCTAAACTTGCAAAGGCAGCTTTCTTGATACTTAAAATTTTGATAAAATTCAGGGGCAAATGGCGGCACAAACACAACGACAAATAGCAAAACGTCGACGAAAACGACGAGCAAATTGAACGGAGCAAAACTTATTGATGCAGATCAATTGGTTTGATAATATTATAGGAAAAGCTCAAACACTGAAATTTTCAGATTAAAGCCTTACAAGAAGCGCAAAATGCTAAAAGGGCATCAAAAGCAGCAAAGATGAAAGAAATTGAAAATAAAGACGTGAAAGATGGTTGGGTATGGGTTAAGAAAAAGCTATTTGACAATTTCAGCTGTTCCTCCTGCTACAGCTCCTGCTACAACAACTCCTGCTACAACAACAACCACTACAACCACCACCAAATCGAGTTCATAATTTTCATCAATATTTTGGGACAAACCTTGAATTCATTCATTCATTCATGCAACTCTTCTTTCAATCTAAATTTGTTCAAATATGCATGCCTAGTATTCTAAAATTATGCATTATAGTACGATAAATGTTATTCTCAAAAGCTTTTCTTGGTTTTCTTGGTTTTCTTGGTTTCGAACTTTGCTACAACAACTTTATACCTCTTTTCACTACTTTCATCAACGCTTTCTATCGCCGAAAACTCTTTGGCTATGAGTGTACACTTTTCAACAATTCTCAAAACACTTTCAAAAGACATCGATTTGTGTGCCAAATGAATCATCGCTGACTGTCATAAAGCTGGCTGTACACATGAGTCATCCAACTGTTGAACTCTGCATGTTCTCGAGATTATTGAACTCATCATAAACTACACTTTTTGTGTTACCCAAAGCAGCGTGTACTTTGTTTTTTTTAATAGCAATTTCATAAATGAATCTCAATGATCTTTTCGAGACTTCTCTTGTACTTTGGTGAGGAAATTTTGCACTAGCCTAACAGGTAGTGATTTTGAATGATTGTGAGAAAAAAAAGAAAGAAGGGGTCCATAGAGACGGACACAGTATAGAGTCTGGGGGATCACCCAGGAGACCTGTCCACATCAGAATAGCCGATCGGACGGGAAAAGCCCCTACCCCTTTCTCCCCAAATTTCTCTTTTCTCGTTGTCTTGTCGCGACAGTCCCGAGAATGAGTTGGCACTTTGCCAATCCTCTTCTCTCGTCTTTCTCTCTTTTATCTTTTATCTTTTGACTCAATGTTTTTCTCGTCTTTTTCTCTCCGTTCAATTGACAGTCACAAGTTAAAAATTTTTGATTGACGCCACATTGAACTCGTTGCACGTACAAAGTAGAATATCAATGATTGGACTTCGAAAATTTCCATAAGACTCACAAAATACGAGAAACTTATTTTTTTCTTGTAGCTGTTTGTGGAATAACTTTTTTTGATGTGATTTTGAAATATTTGAAAACGCTAAGCATCTAGAGCATTTAAATACTTTCAGAAGTCATCTGTGTGAGATCAAGAAGTATTTGATTATTGATTGATTCCCTCGCACAGAATCTTATCAGACAGGCCCTTCCCACTCTTTTTTTCCCTTCTTTTCCCTTTTCTTTTCTGTAATTGCTCGTTTTTTTTTTCTGTGTCCTCTAATCGTTGAATTAAACAAAATTTTAGGCAAATGACGAAAGGCGCTCAACTATTCTATTAGAATCGTACCAAAGCGTCCACAACGTTACTATTGGTAAGCTTTTTGGTTTGATTTGATGTTTCCTTAAATTGTAGTTCATATTTTAGGAAAGAACTTTTGAACTTTGAGCTTTGAGCTTTGTGTTCAAAATATACCTAACAACATCAACAATTCTTATCAATAAGTTGTTATTTTGTTTGTTTAGGAGACGGCGATTAAAGCGCTGAATGGATTACGCAGTTCATGCGAGCATTCCAATCAATCAATCAGCTTCTATATCGCACACTTATATTTCGAGAGAGTAAGTTTTTGATTTTTAGAAATTAACTGAGGAAAATTTATTGCTTTCATTTTTAGCAACCCAATGAGCAATGAGGCGACGAACATCGGGGCGAGTCCCTCGTCTGAACGTGAAGACAAAGTAAGTGTTTTTTTATCTGAGAAAATTTTTTTTTTCTAGGTTATGTTAGATTTCTACATTGGCCTTGGACTTGCGGTATCTTCCTCGTTATTCATCGGTTCCTCATTTATCATCAAGAAAAAGGCCCTAATAAAGGTGAGCTTAATAATAAAATCTTTAATCTTTGAATTGCATTGTAGACCGTATAAAATTTTTTGATTTTTATTAGTAATTTATTTTTAGCTAGCGAGCGAAGAATGTACAGCAAGAGCTTCGGAAGGCGGCTTTGGTTATTTAAAGGAATGGATGTGGTGGTTGGGTGTGATCACAAGTAAGACTTTATGCTGCTTTAACTGCTTAAGGTTCTTGAATATTTGAATAAACTTTGAAAAGAAAAATGTTTGTATTAGTATCATCATTCTTTATCCTTAAAATGTTTTGATATGATTTAGTGGGTCTTGGCGAGGCGTGCAATTTTGCTGCTTATGCCTTTGCACCGGCGAGTCTTGTCACTCCACTGGGGCACTTTCTGTGCTCGTTACGTAAGTCTTTGTTGATTTTTCATTTTTATTTCTTTTTAGGGCAGTACTATCTTCACATCTACTCAAAGAGCGACTCAACTTGTTAGGGAAAATTGGCTGTGCTGTTTGTCTTCTGGGAAGCACGGTTTGTTTTTATCAATTATTCCTAACACTCTTTTTTTCATTTATCAACTATCTGAGTTTTCTCTTTCAGGTAATTGTGATCCATTCCCCTAAAGAGGAAGAAGTTGCGTCAATGGCTGATCTCGCCCTAAAAATGAAAGATGCTGGTAAGTTGTTTTCAAATAGTTGCCCTAGCTTTCGAATGACATTCGTAATGTTGTGATTTTAGCTTTCATTTTGTACGTGATCGCAGTGATTCTGGCGACATTATTCATTGTGATTTACATTTGTCCCCGATATGGACGTTCAAACATTCTCTGTTACATTTCCGTCTGCTCTTTGATTGGATCACTTTCTGTTCTTTCCGTGAAGGTTTGACTTTATTTCGACTTTTCTAAAATTTATTTCTAGGGTCTCGGCCTCGCCATTAAAGAAACTCTCTCCGGAAATCAGCAATTTACGAATTTGCTCACCTATTTTTGGCTTTTCTCAGTTATTGCGTGCGTCTCCGTTCAATTGGTTAGTACAGTTTTGTCAGCATAATCAAGGATTTTTAGATTTATCTAAACAAATCTCTCGACATATACAACACCTCAATGGTTACGCCCATTTATTATGTGTTTTTCACGACTTTTGTAATTTTGGCATCGTCAATTCTATACAAAGTGAGTATTAAAATTTAGGAAAAGATAATATGTTAAAAATAGGTCTGCTTTTTAACTTAAATTTCATGTATTTAGGAATGGAGTTGCCTGGGTGCGTCAGATGTGATTGGAAACGTGATAGGATTTTTGACAACTATAATTGGCATCTTCCAGGTATTTTGATTCTTTTTGAAAATATTGAAAAAATATTCCATTTCAATTATTTTGCGTGTTTTTCTCAAAATAACCCTCAAGATTTGCAAGCATTTGCGAGAAATTGCCAATAAATTTACTAAGATCTAAATCGAGCATAACTTTTCAATGTTTTAGATGCAACTCTTCCGTGATGTAAATATCTCCCTTCGACATGTGCGTGTTCTTCTCAACAAACCATCATGTTCTCTTTCACAAGTACGCCATGATCGATCTAATAATTCTAGATTTAAGGCTTCTTTATTTATTTAGTGACTCAGTTCGACTAGGTATCTATTTTTTTTTATGCTGCTTTCTTTTTTCAATTTTGGAGAATTTATATAAATCCGGTAAAATCGGTTTCAGCTCGAGTTCCACAACTCAACCAGCTCGTTGGTGGACGACTTGTCTCCACAACAAAGGAGAAATGTTTATACATAAATTTCGATATAGTTTATAAAAATTTATTAGAGCACCAATTTTGTACTAAAATGCACCAAGTAGAAATGCGATTGGAAACCCGTGCATGCAGTTGCGATATACGGACACACACTTTTAATCTTTTTATAATTTCTTCTCCTTGTCGCTCTCCGATTTGATCGATCGATGGCGAATATAGGTACTCCAGTAAAAATGAAGGAATAAAATCAAAAATGTTGTGTAGATAAGAAATGCGAGACTCAGATTGGCTCTCGATTGTTGACATCTAGATTATGCATCATTCTTTCTTTTCTAATCTCACCATCTTTAACTTACTTCCAATCAGTGTTCTGCTTGATCCAAAGAACACAACAAGAAATCATGACTCCGATTAGCATTTGAGTTGTTTGAATGATTGTCACCCACTTTGAGATTTTTCTACAAGTTCAATTCCAAAGTGCTATTTTTGTCTAATTTCAAACCGAGGAACTTTAATGCCCATTGCGGTAAGAGTGTAATAGAAATACATTACAGAATGTGCAAAATAGTTCATTGTTATGAAAGCTCGCCCGGCAGCTGTATGCTCGGCTCCTAAACGCGTATTTATATTCATTTCTAATATGTGATTTGGTAACCTGCGTGAACTGTGTAAATGAGAACAGCCGCATGATGGTAGTAATGCAAAAATATAAGCGGTTTTTTGCGTAGAACAATGAAAAGCGTGTCACCGAGTTCAAAAATCTGAAAAGTGATTTATTAGTTGTCACATGGTCACCTCAAAACCTTGGATATCGCAAAAAGTAGACTCCAGAAGGCAGCGACATCATTTGGATGACAAGAATAACAAATCCATTCATAGGGTGTACGGTGTTGCAGCGAATAAAACAAATCCTGGAAAATATCTATGTTCTTGAGTTTTTTTTTAATTTATGAACCTCTCCAAATCGAATAAAACCAAAAATGCTGAACAAAGCAAGAAAAGCGTTCCAGAAAATAAGTGGCAAGCGAAGATCGAATGCTTTTTTGTGTTCCAAATATGACTGGATCAATTTGATGATTGCAAAATATATCACCTAAAGCTTTTTAATCAAAATTCCCGTACAGATTCCCGTACAGATATGGTGATTGTGTGCGCCCAGTTCTGTTGCAAAAATTTTGTGATCAAAACCGGCTCATCGACTCTTTCAAATGGTAGAGCAAATCTAGAAAAAGTTTATTCTTGAATTAAGAAAGAAAAGTGATCGTACGAGTAACGATAGTTTGAGTGAATTCCATGGTCGGTGTGGTTGGTTTTGTAGAGAGAGAAATCGTTGAGGGAAGACCAAAAATCGTGCAAAACCTCAGATGCGATCATTGTGGTGAGAAATGGAAAAAGAGGAGATCAATTTCTATGCGAAGGCACCCATTCAACCCCCTCGCACCCGTCTCTATTCCCTTCAATAAATAGGTCAACCACTTCAAGGACATCTCTTCAATAACAGTTTCAATCGGACATCTCTATCCATCTCTCATCCATTTCCTTTCACTTTTCTCTTTTCCTTATCCACTTTCGTTGAGTATAGCCGATGTTGTGGAAATCGTATTTTAAGCAATAGCAATTTTTATTCGTGTTCACACAAATATATCAATGAATACTTAATTTCTAAAAAAAAAGCTAAAATTGTTCAAATAATCATTTAAAATGGGTCCATCGATTTGACTAGCAAAAAGCACCATAAATTATGTGATAAATGGCGATAACTGGTCAAAGAAAAGGCACAGATTTGAGTTAAAGATTAGAAGAAATGTGAAATTAAACCTTTAAAGAACGTTTGTGAGTAGCAACTTCAATTGATATGAAAATTCAAACGATGAAAATTCAAGCAATGATAAGAGTGTAGAAGAAGAATGAATCAATCAGCTTTTTCGTCCCCAAACAGTTACAATCATAACGATGAAGAAAATGAGAATCGGTAAAAGGAGAAGAAGAATAATGAGACCGACAATAAAGCGTCGACGTCGCCTCAGCTGGTCGGCTGTTAGATATGGTGGTTGGGATATTAGTGCTGAAATTCTTTTTTTTTGTGTCTTTTATTAGTTTTACTGGTTCTTCTCGGAAATCTGAGTCTTTTCATTGTGAAAAGCTATCATATCCAAAATCCAAAGCCAATGCGATTCTCTTGAGACTTTTCTTCGAACAAAGAGCTAAAATAAACTCCGCCAATAGGTTTTACGCGCCTGAAAACCCAGAGCACAAATGTTTAACACTAAATCTCATTTGGGGAATCATTTACAGAACAAAAGAAAGATCACTATGCAAAGTGACTGACGAGGTGTTCTTTGAAAAGGAGCGGAGAGCGACTGAACTTTCCCGTTTTTTGGGCACTATGCTCAAACTTATGGGATCAATTTTTGCCTATTTCTGCTACAAATCAGCCTGTCAGAAACAAGGTTACGATAGTTTCCGAAAGTACTCGTTAAAGTAAAGTACTCGAAAGTAACCGTGTTAGTGTTAAAAATTTGTGCCCCAGGGTTTTCATTGGCGATGTTTATTTTAACCCATTTTCCCAAGAAAAGTCCCAAATGAATCGCATTGGCTTTGGATTTTGCTTTGGATTCAGCTCCTTTTCAAAGAACACCTCGTCAGTCACTTTACATAGTGATCTTTCTTTTGTTCTGTAAATGATTCCCCAAATGAGATTTAGTGTTAAACATTTGTGCTCTGGGTTTTCAGGCTCGTAAAACCTATTGGCGGAGTTTATTTTAGCTCTTTGTTCGAAGAAAAGTCTCAAGAGAATCGCATTGGCTTTGGATTTTGGATATGATAGCTTTTCACAATGAAAAGACCCGGATTTTCGAGAAGAACCGTTTTACTTGTTTGAGCAACTATACAGTACTTTTGGATTGAGTAGCTAAATAGTATTATAGTGTCGTCCACGAATGTTGGCAATAAGTTAGGCAATAGTTATACTTTTAACTTTTTTTGTCATTTGTAGTGGTCTTGCTTACTGTTTCTATATTGATAGACGGGAGTCCCGTGGCATTCATATTGACTTCGGATGTGGGTGGGTGGATGTGTGGAGCACGAGTGATCATAAATAGCGTGACCTGGTGGACGAAGGGTCGTTCTAGGCGAACCTGCAACAAATGTTGTCATTTAGTTGCATGTTTTCTAGAATAGTTACCAGGCGTCGGAACTGAATGAAATGTGGCCATGTATTCGGGTTGACTCGTCGCATATTTCTCGTGCTCATCGTAAGCCGGCGGTGGGCCGCTCATCTTGCAATCAATCGTTTCCAAAATTTAATGAGTTTGCAAAGCTTAAAGGGTGTTTAAAAGTGTTTGGAAGCTTTTAAGTAGGCCTTCTAAATAGACCTTTTAAATAGATCTTTTAAATAGAATTTATAAAAAATTCTACTATGATTTGAAAGTTTGAAAAATTGCAATCAGCGGGTTGGTTACGAAAAACAGCTTAAAGGGAGGGTGAGGGGAGACTTCAAAAAGTTTGCACTGATCACTCGCTCACTCTTTTTTTTGGCAAAGGGGTGTGATACGAAGGTTTTTCCCCCGTTTCCTATCTTGGCACTTATTTGGATAGAACCCCTTCCCAATTTGTGGGTAAATAATATCATTTGACTCACAAACATCGTGTGAACTACAGCTGAACAGCATTTTTGCAAAGATTGTTTTTAATAAAAGGTATCGCTTTGTTGATTTTAGCTTCTACACTTTACTTTTCAAATTTTACAAAGTACAAAATGAAAAGAATTACATAAAACTTAAAAGGTTTATTTAAAAGAGGTAAAGAAATAGATTTTCGAGATCCTTAAAATTATTAGGTTCAGCGATTGTATTGAAAAGCTCAAAAAAAGGAGAAACGAAAGTTTGAAGAAATGCTATTGTATACGTTTATCTGAATCAACCCCTCTTCGAAATCGATTTTATGAGTGGGGGTGACTTGTACCCACAAAAAGTCATCTTCACACAGCACAAAAAGTCATCTTCAATCGGTTCCAAAATTTGATGGGTTTGCAAAGCTTTTCTTTTCGTTTATTAACAAAAAACAAAACAAAACAAAAACGCTTATTAACAAACAAACACCCACAAAGTTTCGTTTATTAACAAAAAAAAAACGATTGGGAAATTTAAAAGATATAAATTTTATTGTATATTAGTACAGAATGATAAGAAAGGACAGCTAAAACGCATAGTAGATTGATAAGCAAAGCTGTTAAAAAGAAATCTTTCTTCATATCAAAAGTAAATGATGAAAAATCGGCTTTTTTTTTGCCACGTTTCAATCATTTTGTTCTAAGTGCTGGTTAATGCTAAAAATTAGTGTTATATCTCAAAAAATCACTCATCCTCTCTACTTTAATTTGATACCAAAGCATATAGAAACAAATGTACTGGTGAGATGAGAGATGAGCGTTTGTTTGAGAGTAAACTGTTAGACAATGCAACGTTCCTTTGGGAGGCTTCTATTGGGTTGGTGAATTGAAAACTGCGGGACTTTGAACTAAAATTTATTCAACATAAAACCATGAATTCATTCCAAATAATTTCCATTATTATTGACGACTTGTGCCCATTTTACAGGCAATTTGCGGATTCCTCTTTTGTAGTAGGATTTTGGTTTGTGTGTGAGACAAGTGTGAGACTCAAAAATGGAGGACTGGAGATGTCCCAGTTTGAGCACTTTCTTCAAAAGAAACCCATTTTGTTGTCAATGGAAAAGTTGTAGAGAATCAAAAATTAGGCTTATAGCCAAATTTCCAAAAGATATACTTAGTAGTTTCGATTAAAATGCAAGTATTGTGAAAATTCGTAAATTTGACATTTCTTGAAAACCAGTTTTTGAATCGTTCTGAAAATTTGGATATAAACTTTATTTTTGATTCTCTACAACTTTTCCATTGACATAAAAATGGGTTGCTTTTGAAGAAAGTTCTCAAACTGTCACATATGACAATAGACCGGAGTTTTCAATTCGCCAACCCAATACTTCTACTTATTCGATCACTTTTGCTGCTTCCTTATGTGCCATTTTCTTAGCTTTTTTATCTTGTTATCAGAAATCTTTGAACACAAAAGTTTCTAAAAGAATTGTTATGTTTCAGATGATAAGAATTTTTCGAGATTTTCAATTTAAAAAGATTTACCGTATTTTCTGTAATAGTAGTGCAGTCTATAATAGTAGTGCAGTCTGTAATAGTAGTGCAGGCAGGAGGGGGGGGGGTTGAAAAAATAGTAGTGCGCACTACTATTACAGAAAATACGGTAATTTAAAAAGAATAGTTCAGCTTATTTTTGTGCCTTTCAAAAAACCGATTTCTTTTCAATTCATCAACCCAATATTAGAGTATTTACGGTGAGTACTTTTTGGTTTATTATGATGCCTTTTTGTTTAAGATAAATTTTGCAAATAAATCTTTATTTGAGATCAAGTTTCAGCATGATTGGTGAAAGCGACTGTCGCTATCGCGATTTCAGTGGATTTCACTTTTTGACCGTTTCGTAGAATGTACAACGGGGACGCAACTCGGATTGAATGAAATGACGCATTCAGCACTTGCTTCTCATCCATTTCCACTTCAACATTCTACAAGATAACGCTGATTAAGTGCTCAATCATTCTATTTACACCTCAATCACATTCAGCAGTGGATTAGCGATTGTCAATTCGTCACCGATAGAGAGTTGGAAATGATTCGAGCAATTGTATATTGAGATTGCAGCGCAAAAGCCACTTTCATCAATCACAAGGAAAACTCTGTAAATTGGATTTTTATTAAACTAAACCAGCAACAAATGTTTTAGTTTAGTAAAGTTGTATGTTTTTTTTTTAAAAAATAGTTACCAGGTGTCGGAACTGAATTTTATTAAATGTATACCTTGGCACATCTTCCGATGATGCCACATTGGTTACAATTCTCCCCACTGTATACAATCCATCGTTTGTCCCCGGTTTCAATGAGCCGATCGACTCATGGGAAAGTGGTGCACCAAAATCTAGCAGTAGACTTTCCTATTCGAAATATTCTTGATTGCTTTCCAACAACCTACTTTTGTCTTATTTACGTCTATTCCCTTTGAAGTTTCAAAAATCGAAATTTTACCTAAACTTTTGCTTTAACAGTTGATTTCTTTAAAAAAAAAACTATGCTTGGTGATGCCCTTTGAAATAGACAAAATGATGTTGTTGAGAGATTTGAGTCGATCCATAGCAATTGGAGAGAAAGGCTCCAAGACGTGAGCTCTTTTCAAATGAATTATCGCTTCAGCGTATTTATCTAGATATCTAAAATTGTTTCATTGTTCAGTGAAGAATAGAGAGGAAAATCAAAACCTGTAAGCTGTGGCAAGATTTAGATGAAGAGCCGGATCATAGCCAGTTCGACGATTTTTGAGTGCTTTTTGATAAGCATCCGTTGCGTTTTCCTGAAAGTTTTTAAGTTTTTAAGTTTCGGCATTTTCTTTAAGCATACTTACAAGTGTTTCAAAATGGTTTTTCTCCAAATGAAAGAAACTTCCAAAACGAGCATTTGCGAGCGAAAGCAAAGCCGCTCCTGAATGCGGATCAATCTCAACAGATCGTTCCGATAATTCGATCGATCTTTGCCTAAAAAAAACCAATTATTTTAATCGTATGTTTAATTCAGAAAACTGTAATTAAATAGAAGATTGTGGGACATTTAATACACACCCCTTTTACCATTGATAATCTAACTTTAAGCTCAAAGATCTTGGTGTCGAATTTAAATATTCTTAGTATCATTAGATGTGCCAATTCTTTCTCTGTCGATTGGTAGAAAAACTATTGAAATTGGACAGCTCAACACCAAGATATTACCAATCCAACTTTCTAACTTTGAAAATGTCCGATAACCTAAATAGAAGACTGTTAATTTACCGTATCTCAACAAAAAAAAGAACTCAACTAGCTTGAGCCGCGAGTTTCTTATCGGTAATCGTTCCAAGTGTGAACCGGATCACTGTAGCAAGAAGGCTCAATAGTTCAGCCGATTTGCAAAACTCATATCCACACTAAAGTTGTTTAAGTGTTTTAAACGGTGAACCTTTTGTATAAAAATTTCAAACCTCTAAACATTCAAGCGCGTATTCAACATCCGGCTTTTTGAGTAGACAATTCCCGAGCTCTGTCCATCCTCGAGGATCGGATGGCTTTAGTTTCACGTATCTGAAAATTTGAAAAAGAAAATAAATATAAACTTCTTTGCATATTCTTGATTTTTTTTTTAAAACTGACTGTGCCAATAGTTCTTCGCATTCTCCACTATAATCAATGCATAAATTCGAAATTCGTCCCTTCAACAGCAATAAAGACACATCGAAATTCCCTTTATCCTTTTGGTTTAAACTCTGCAATGTTTTTTGTTCTAAAATCTCTGAATTTTTCTATTTTACCTGAAGCAACTCTTGGACTCGACTCTTCACATCGACACAACGATCCTCGTCACTTTTTGTCGGAAAGTTCTCAAAATATTGATCACAAAAAGTCTCGATTTCTTCAATTTTTGCGTCTACACCCTCCATTTGCTCATAACTTCAGTAATTTTCGACTTTTAGTGATTGAGAATTTGAATTTGAATTCTTGTTATGAAAATTCTTGTTATGAACAATATCTATGAACAAAAAAAGTCATCCCAGACTATAGACTACATTCTTTTTTTCTCTTCCATTTTTGTCCCCTTCCCGCACTACTTTTTACCCGCCTCTTTCCATAGGTTATTACGAACTGAAAAACATACCATAAATACTGTAATAGTACCCCACCCCCCTCGTACAGCCGCGTAGTCGCAAAAGTTTTTTAGTATTTCATTTTTTTTTCAAAGCGCCCGTACTTTCAAAAAATGCGTCTTTGGTATCAAAAAATAGTTGAAATTCAGGGCTTTTTTTTGATACCTAAGCGCGCATTGTAGCATAAACCAGTGTCGAGAAAAACTCGTTCAAAGCTAGGCTACGCAACACTCCGCACCGGCATTATGGGGGTGGGGTACTATTACAGTATTTACGGTAGTTTATTAGTTTTATTTGATTTAACAGGAGTTACACAATACAGCAAAACATTCTTTATAGTTGTTTTTATCAAAAAAAAATCTATATTCAATGATTTCAGCTACCTTTGATCCACTTGAACTTCTTGCTATTCTCTCTAACACAAAATTTGGGCCAACTTTTGTATTACTTAGAAAATACTTTCGAGAGATTGATCGATCAAATGTAGAGTGCTTTTGTAGCCAATTTAACAACATTTATGTAATAAATGATGTGAAAAGGCGAACGGAAACGAGACCGAGTGGCCGAACACGTCTCGCCGAGGTGGCTTCTCATAGTCAGTTCGGTGTCCGAGTCGGCACAGCTCTTCCCCTTTGCGATCTCCACACCCCATCTCCATCCCCATCCCATCCCCATCCCTTCGCCCATTCACTGCCCGTCCCGTTCGTGGTCGCGTCGCAACCTCGCGCCCCTGTGCCGTCCCCTCACAGAGACACCCCTCTCCCCCTCCATTCCCCGCATACACATGCCCCTCTTCAGCACCGGCGGCGATGGCGGCAAGAGGCCGTCTCCCCCAGCTGCCCTTTACCCATACCCCTTGCCCACCATATATCGATTGCTAGCTCAGGGTATGTGAGATTTCTAACATGGGCACCCAATCAAACACCCTTTTTTTCTACTATTTCTTGTTTGATCCTGCTTTTTGTATCAACTAGGTCTTTAAGAAACCTTTTAGATCTGAAGCTTCTTTTCTCGACCTCAGACTCGGGTTCTGTTTACTAATTTTTTTTATGTATTGCCAAAGTGAAACCGTTTTCGTTTTCGTGTAAGACTGAGCCACTTTTTTGTGTGGCATTACACAGGAAATACGTTTCAAACAAATGACATTCTATGCGCGTGTTACTTGAACTTTTTCTATTTATGATTGTTTTCATTTCTATCAGATACATATAATATTTTAGTGATTATATAAAAAAAAAGTTTGTAAATTTCAGGATTAGCCTCGTTTCTAGTCGATGACGAAATGATTCAAGTGAAATGCGAATTTTGTATAGGTGACAACGAGGAGCGTTTCGAATTTGAAGTGGTGTGTAATGATTTTAGTAATGATCTAAAAGAAAACAAAAAAAGGATAATATATTGAAATCAAATACAGTCGACTCTCTCTAGAACGGAACTCGATCTAACAGAATGTAAATTTTGGTCCCAACCGACGCTAAACTATATAAAACGGCACTCTATATAACGGAAAGCTCTTTATAACGGAAAGCTCTATATAACGGAAACATTTTCTCGTCCCTTCCATTCCGTTATAGAGAGAGTCGAGTGTATTTGATTTCAATATATTATTCTATAATATACTGTACTATAAAAATACAATAATTTCTAGGGACATCAACTCCGAGATCATCTAATCAAAAGTCATGCAGAAGAAGTGGCTCGGGCTTTTCTCTTTCCCAATATTGCTGATCCTAAGCACATTTTTTTGATGGGATGTGTTGCATTTAACACCGCAACAGTAGTAAGTACAAACTTTAAATACATAATCAGAAACAATGTTGAATCTTGCAGGGAGTTGATGGAGAAACGTGCAGTTCAGCTGAACTTTCCCCAACGGATACAGTGTCTCCGATAGAAGGGCTTCCCGTCGAGGAAGGCTCACTGGATGAAAATGATGATGAAACAGGTGTTGGCGTAAATCTTGTTGATGTCATTGCTACTCTCATTGGTTCTACAATGCAGCCAACAATTGTAAGACAGCCATTTCTCTGATTGTACCATTTTTACGATGTTTTAGAATGGAAAAACACGCAAGAGAGGGTTCCCTTCACCGACAAAAGATACACCAATGAAACGCTTTCATCGAATTAACGATGATGTTATGGTAGTAACATTTTTTTTGTTTTTTATAACAATTATAGATTAGGTGAATGATGGATTTTCGGCTCATTCAACCTTTGATCCGGCATCTTTATTCGAAAATGCTGAAGCTTTGGCTTCTGCTAGTGGAATGGTCGAAAATGGGCGAAAAATTAAAGAAGGAACTTGCAAAGTTAGTTCAAATTTGAAAGAGTTTTCTTTTTTACAAACCTTTCTTCAAATTTAGTCGTGTCATCAAGGAGTGTCGATGTCAGGCCGTTATCGCCACGTTCTTGAAGTTCATGTTAATAAAGAAGATATGTTCACTTGTTCGGCTTGTGATTTTTCTCATTGCAGCTCAATAGCCGAAGCTAGAAAGTGAGTTAAGCACCGAAGTTTCCTTTTTGAAGCAGAAAATGAACTTTACGTTATTTTTAGTCACGCCGGCACTGCTCACCCTGACGAAAACGCGTGCCCACAAAGCAATGAACTGAAATATCGAACGTTGATTCAAGTTGGAATTCTTTTAGATGTAAACTTTGGACTTTAAATTTTAGCAATGGATGAGAAGATGCTTTGATGATTGGAAAACAGTAGATATTCGGCCTGAAGTACAAAGAGTCGATAACGGAGATTCTGGGGGGTGCGAGTGAGGAGCCGGAGGTATCCGAGAGTTAAATATTACTCATATTGACATTATATAAGCAATTTGCATATCTAAGCTATTTTTCAGGATGATTTACTAGAATCGGATCCAAGAACACCTCTCGGAAATATCGATCCAGCAAATGTTGATGAGAGAACGTGTCAACTTTGCTGGGAAGAGAGCAGGTAAAGAAAGAGATTTTTTTAAAGTGAATAAATCACCTCAAGCTAATAGTAAAAAGCAAATTTATAAAGTTAATAAATTACCTAAAGCTAAGCAGAATTTCTTTTCAGATATCCAGGCCGACATTTGGCTCAAAAGCATCTACGAAAGCCATTATATGAATGCCCGGTTTGTGAAGGATTCGGCAGTTATGAGAGTTGCACTGTTGTTAAACATATGATGAAGGTACTCGAAATAAAAAGATTTTTCATTATAAATGAGCTTTAGGTGCATACAGAGGTCGAAGATCCGCAACCAATATCAAACCTTGAGAAATATGCTGAAGAAATTCGAGATCTACAGGTGATTGAAAGAGTCGGAAAATCGAAAATCGTGCTTTAGATTCGTTGTTTCCCGAAAAGACCAATGAAGCTAGTGAAAGCTTCAATGGGGTCAAAGCCAAGAGAAAGACATCTTTGTAATAAATGCAACACTCAGGTGTGTTGTGATATTGAAAAAAGAAAATTCAGAAATGACTTTAGGTGGCTCAATCTGATCGTCAAAGGCATGTCTACCACAAACATCTTCAAAAGACTCGCGTATTTGAGTGCCCAATCTGTGATTTTGCCTCAAATTATGATGTTCACAGGTTGGTGAAGAGGAAACAAAAGAAATCTTTCAATTTCTCACTTTGTTTAGAGTAAAATGGCATCTCAAATGGGAGCACAAAGAAGAGGGAAAAGATCTCGAGCCGGTCTCGCATGAAAACGAATATCGGTTAGATTTGGAAATCTACTGTATATAAGAGAGCAGTGTCTGTCTGTCTGTCTGTCTGTCTTTACGGTCTCTCAGCCGTCTTTTGACCAATGAAGCTAAAATTTCTTTAGAAAACCTTAGAATATATTGTCGTTGTGTCATTTAAAAGAAGAAAATTAAAACGTCAAGGTTGAGTACGGGATTTGAACCCGGGTCTTGTGAGCTGTAGACGCACGCCCTCCCGACTGCGCCACGGCAACTATCCGTCATTCCCAAAACATCTAGCTAGAAAAACCCGCCGTTAGGCTGGTAACAACATAAAAATGGTCGCCATGTCCGTCATTACCGTCGTGGCCGACTGGCTAAGAGCCCTGTGTCTTAGGGAGGTCAAGGGTTCAATCCTGCCGTCTAGATTATTGGTTCTTCTTTCCCATATAAATGGTTTTTTATTTCCTACATTTAGGGCTGAGGGTTTGAGTGCTAGGTATTGTTTGTACTAGATTTGTAACGAAAACATCTGTCGGTCTTTTTTTGCCGTTGGCAATGGCAGATTTTTCGTGCCTTTCTCAGCAAGAACCCTTCGCTTTTGACTATTTTGGCTATCATTCGATGCAGAATAAAATTGCGCGTCGAATGATACCAAAACCAATTCAAAGTGTCATTTTTCTGCAAAGTTATGAGGAAAAAAGGAAGGCGTTTTTGTTACAAGTTTAGTTTGTGCCACATTGTTTGTGAATAAAATTTATTTTTAAAAATAAAGAAAGCACTTCAGAGAGGCGATTGATCGATTAAATGAAGAGTGCTTCCCCGGATGGACACATCGACGCAAACCATTTTGGTGGTTAGATCAAGAAGAAGCTCAACAAAGGGTTTCACAGGTAAATAATCTTTGCAAAAACATTTACAAATAAATAGATTCGAGCCAAAAAGAAGAAAGAAGATACATCAATGGAGCAAGACTCAATAGAAGTATTTAAAAACTCTTTTAAACAAAACGAGGAATGATTTTTAGGAAGAAAGTGTTGAGAATGGGGTCGATGAATTGCTGAGTCAATCACTCAGTGAATATGCTTGCAAAGTAAGAATGAATAGTGAAAACGTTTCAACGAATCGTTTTAGTTGTGTGGAAAAGATTTCAAACCATCAGCGAATTTCCTTCGACACGTAGCAAAAGAACATCTCTCGATACCGCTTTATCAATGCCCACTTTGTGAAGGCTTTGGCGCTCAAGATGCCTACGGGATTCGTGCACATACTTTGAAAGTAATATTTTAGAGATATTTTAGATACCCAATGTTCATTTCAAATGAGAAATATCAATAAAACTTTTAGGCTCATTCAAGAGCTGACGTGCAACCGCTTTCAAATATGGAAACTCACTCTGAAGAGATTCAACGTGTCTATTCACAGTGTTTCCCTGGACGAAAGTTAAAGGTATTTCAAAATTACAAAATTTTTGAACCTATTTTGGTGTAGAATTTACCGGATAAGCCGCTTAAACGTGAAAAATCATCGGCCGCACAACGAGTCGAGACAAGGTCAAAAAGACGAAGCAATATTGCTGAAAGTTCCAAGGTAATTCAGTTTATCAGTATTAAACTATTCTATTATTAAACTTTCAACGTACTTGAGTTAATCAGTACAGTTAATAGTATCAGTACAGTTATAGTATCAGTACAGTTTCATCTGTCATGCACCGCTGAAAAGTCATTAAACCTAAAATGCACAACGAATTTCTTCAGTCAAAACAAGACAAATCGGAGCCTCGTATCTCACGTGGTCGTCATCGGTGGGATGATGATGACGGGAAAGTTGTGTGCACGCAGTGCAATATGGAGATGAAAACTGAGGATCGACAGGTTAGGAATATTTAAAGATCTGAATTAAAAACAATTCTCATTAAAAACAATAAAATAAAAACGATTCCCAGAACAAATTTATTAGTTAGAAAATAATTTTTTTAATGATTCATGTTTTTGTAGATTCATGTCTACCGACATCATCTCAAAGAGTCACGATTGTATGAATGTCCACTCTGCGATTTCTCTCATCATGCGTGCAGCAGTGATGTCCGCTCGCACATAAAGTAACAAGAAATTGCGCGAGGAGAGACTTTTGCAAAATAAAAAAAAAAATTCAGATTTGTGCATCGTAATCAATCGGAAGTGATGCCAAGAGCAAACTTGCTCGAATTTTCGGAAAAAATCGCAGAATGGAACGATAAATGTTTTCCCGGTTGGATCAATCGAAGACTTCCCACAATTGCGGCCGAAGATTTCTCAAGGTAATTTCTGAGCAAAATGAAAAAATTGATCTTTTTATAAAAAAATGAAATTTAGTTGTCGTTTATGTGGAGAAGAGGTGCGACAAACTTCGCGTCATATTGCAGAAGTCCATTTAAAAGTGAGATTTTATCGCTTCAGTAAGATTACCTTAAGAAATCTTCAGTCACAATTTTGAGATTATCATTAATTGCTAAAAATTCGCTTTAGATTTCTCTTCATCAATGCCCACTTTGTGAATACGGAGCCGCTGAATCACGTCTTGTTATCAGACATTTACGCAACAATCATACGAAAAAGGAAGCTAAGGTAAGAGAAAAAGTTTATAACTATTTGTAAGAAGCTGAAGAGATTAACGTGATTATTTATTATTAGATTTATTAGCATGAAAGTAAAGATGGACTTTTTTTGTAGAAAACGAGTCATTTCCACGTTCTAGCAAACAGCTCTTGTTTTCTAAAGTGTGAATACAATGCTATTTCGAGCTTTAGAAAACAAGAACTGTTCGCTAAAATGTGGAAATGACTCGTTTTCTACAAAAGCCATGTATAAATGAAAGTTATTTCAGGGACAAGAACCAATCTCAAACGTTGCACTGCGAAGGGCCGACTTTTCAGCGGTGCATGACAAATGCTTTCCAGGAAGGCCAAAACGTCTTTCCAATATAACTATATCAGAAGAAGGTGAGGAAAATGAATAAGAATGACTCAAGAAAAATCTAGGAAGACGAGCAAAGTGTCGAAGCTGTGGTTCAACAGTGAGCAAGAAAAAGCGGTTGTCACATTTACTCGAAAGACACCTCAACATAGCATTCATAAAGTTTGGAGTCAATTTTTCGGCCTTAAAGAAATGCGTTCAGGTGTAAATCTTGTGATTTCACACACACCTACGATGAGAAGCTTTTGAAAGAACATATTACTCAAAAGCATGAAAATAGCGGGAAAAATCAGGAAGAGATCTCATTGAACAAGGTTAGTGAACAGTTATGAACAGTGAACAGTTAACAGAACAGTTAAACGGGTATTCCGGTCCTCAGCGAAATCCCATTTTTGCTTCGAATCATTATAAGCTGTTCTCAGCGAGAAAAAAAAACTCTTTAAATACCCCAAAACAAAACCGTTAATTAACTTTCAGCTGCTTAGCTGAAAAACTTTAACGGTTTTTTGCTGGTTGTTATTATACTTTCAGAGTACCGCCGCCCAGTGTCTCCCTAGTCTCCCCCTTGCCATTGGCAATCTACGTTTTTTTTCCATTTTCTCTACTGGATCAATTTTTATGATTTTAGTACCATTCGATAGAGAATTAAATTAAGCATCGAATGGTACAAAAATCATAAAAATTTATTCAGTAGATAGAGAGAAAATGAAAAAAACGTAGATTGCCAATGGCAAGGGGGACACTTTTAGGGGATACTGGGGGGCGGTACTCTGAAAGTATAGTTGTTATAGGGCGAGAAATCATTACCGTAGTCTAGAAGGAAACTACGGTAGAATTAATTCTGTTATATAAAGGTTCCGTCACATTGCATTTTGGACTCGAGAAACGCATTTTTTGACAGTTTTTCATAGTTTTTCCGGGATTTTTAGTGTTTTCAAGGTTTTTCTTTATGCAACCCTTGTAGAGGAGACTCAATCGATTGGTCGATGTCGATTGGTATACAAATAGAGTCGTGCGTCTAGAAAATCACTTTTAGAACCGGAGTATCCCTTTAAAGATTTGTCAATGATAAATTCATTCATCAAAAAACAAGACATTTCAGCATTTCGGTGAAGTCTCCGAGTGCAGTCGAGCCTGTTTTCCTGATTGGGATCTGAAGAAAGCTGATCTTCAGCATTACTCTTATGTACTGTAGTTATGTACATTCAGGGGCCGTATCTTTTCGTAAACTTTCCCCAAACAATTTCCCATTTTCCTTTCCATTTGCTGATTGTTTAATGTGTTGTTAGTGCTTTTTGTGTTACTTGTTTATAAGGGTTGTGCCACAAATATCAATTCTTTTCATTCTGCTCACATTCATAATGCTCTTTCGATAAACAAATTTCACTCAAAAACTTCTCGTGATCATTCCCCTTTCCTTTTCCCCATCAGTGATCTCTTTCATTTATATTTTTTTGGGGTTTTATCATGACATAATTATTTTATCTGTTGTAGTTGCTAAATAAAGTTTTTTTTTTATTGAAAGCATTTCAATCTTCAATGACATTTTTGAAAACGAAGCACATCATCGAAACGTCGAAGATATTTCAAAGCTGACATTAATGGAGTTGTTCTCCCATTCACGCCAAAATCGGAAAATAAAGTCCTACAATTTTGGAAAATCAAAGGTTTAAATGATTATTTACTCAAAAGGAACAAACGCATTTCTCTTGATATTCAAGCAAGTTTCAACCTGAAAAAATGAAATTATTAACGGATTTCAGTTAAAGAAAGTCGATTACATGAGTCTTATGATGTGTCGAGTGAAAAGTGCCACCAATGAGCAAACCGATCGCATACCATTTATCATTGATTCGACAAACCACTGGGGCACCCGAATCACCCTGAAATATTAAATTTGAAAAAGGTTACTGTTATCTTATCAGTTGAAATGTTCTACGTTTGCTGCTCAGCTCTATTCTTGCTCATAAGACACGTTATTTAAAATGAATGCGAGTTGCGAACTTGAATGGATAGTGATCTTTCTTTGATTGATTCGCAAACCTGACAAGCTGCAGCATTGCGATGAGTCGATTCGATGAGAACGGTGTTGAATGTAGGATCTCCCTTTCATTGAAATGATCTCTGCCACCTTTTGCATGGGTGGCCATATGGTATAGGAAGGATCTGCATATTTTCGGATAATTTTTACAATAAATTACATTTATTTACACGAATAACAATACACAATACACAAGCACAACCCCTAAGCCCTAAGCCCTAAATGTAGCGAAGAAAAGCCCAAATCTATGGGAAAAAAGAAGCAGTGATCTAGCCGGTGGGATTGACTAAGGATCGACCTCCCGACTTAGCCAGTCGGCCTTAGCTCTTAGCCAGTCGGCCTTAGCTCTTAGCCAGTCGGCCTTAGCTCTTAGCCAGTCGGCCTTAGCTCTTACCCAGTCGGCCTTAGCTCTTACCCAGTCGGCCTTAGCTCTTACCCAGTCGGCCATGGCAACACCAAATGATAATGAGAACGAGAGGGTCTAAACCTCACCTTCGGTTTGTCCAAATCCAATGAGAAAACATTTTTTTTTCGCCATTCCATCAGTCTCATTTGTCCAAATGCTTGGAACTGGGCTTTCAAAATTCGGATAGTATACGTTTTTCTGTACGATTTACCGTATTTTTGATTGACAATTCAAATCATTCAACGGGATTTTCCTTTCCAATTGCAAAAGTGCCCAATCGTGTTTCTAATGAAGTTGATGAAGAGGAAAGTAAAAAAAAAAAAGTAGAATTCAAACCGCAATTCGATACCACTGTTCACGTGGGTTGTAACTCGGCGAAATGTGCACATAGTTTGCTCGATAAAGCTCTAAGGATATAGTTCCGTTTTTTTGTTGTTAAAATTGGATGAAATTAGAATCACCTTTATTGTAAGCGATCATCACAATTGCTTTCGGATCTCTAGAAATAAAAATCTTTGCATAAAGGCTGCATAAAGGCTGTCTATAAAATTTTCAAAAAAAAAATTCGTTTCCCTAAAGCAGTGTGCAGCGGTGAGAACGATGTCGGGTGAAAGAAGAGTGCCACCACAAATCGAGATCGGCTTTGAAATGAACGGCGGCAAGAAGCGATATGTTTGATCGAAACGATGAAATTCACTCTCCTGATTCCACAATGAGATCTGCAGTGCCCATGGGAAGAGTGATCATAAAAAAAAGAAAACACTTTTTTTAGAGTAAAAACTAGAGTAAAGTAATAGGGGTAGGCTAGTTTCCGCAACTTTTTTTGCGCAACTGGGTCGTTTGCCCAACTCACCATAACTTTCTTCTAAGTCGACCAATCTTTATGATTTCTGATGTCATTTTGTTGCACTTATTGAGATCTACAAAATGAGACCAAAATCATAAAGATTAACCCACTTAGAAGAAAGTTATGCCGAGTTGCGCAAATGACCCAGTTGCGCAAAAAAAGTTGCGGAAACTAGCCTACCCCAAGTAATATCGACAAGCATATGGTAGCTTTCTTTTTCTTTTCTTATGAGCACTTTCTAGAAAGCACTGTAATCAAATGAATCAAATGAATCCTATGGAAATAGTTATCTGACTATTCATAAACCGACCAGTGCTCTCAACTTCTCCAAAACGAATTCCATCAGTAATTGAAAATTTATATGAAATTAGAAGAAAAATAGCATTTCCCCACATTGCTTGAAATGAAAATCATTCAATTTTCAGCCTCTTTATCATCGAAATTTGTGAAATATTTTGTTATGAGTCATAAATCGTTTCCAATTCAGATTCTCTCAATATCTTGCATTAAAGGAAAAAGAATCAAGTGCAAAAAATGAATGAAATCTTTATTTTTCATCCATTATTTAGTCCTGCATCTCGCTTGAGCCTAAATTTTTTTGATTTTTTTTGATTTCTATTTGTAAAATTGTGTTTGCTTAAACTGTAAAACTGTAAAACTGTTACTGGTTAACTGTAAAATTGTTTACCGTCACACAAGTTTTGTCTCCAGAGAGTTTGTCACTAAAATTTCGTTGGTATGTTTTTTTGGGATTAAAATAAATAGCGCAAACTCACTTGAGCTGTAGTTGAATTTGATAGGGTTGATCGTCTTTGAGCAGCTTAATGATACTCTAAAGGTCTTTGTCATTTAGACTTTGTCTTTGTCACTTTGTCAAAAGCAGCACACACACACACACAAAAAACCAACGTCAAATTTGGTGAAATCCATCGTCAGTGGAAGAGTTTGACGGCCGGTTTTCACTGTAAATTTATTTGTACAATTAATTCGTTTCCCAAAAAAATTCCCAAAAATAGCAATAACTGTTAATGTTGACCAACCAGGACATGGCACTCCCTCTTCACATGCATCCAGATCCTGAAATAAATGAAAAATAGAGGACAAGAATTTTTTTGCAAGACGCAAATAGCATCTATTATAGATAGGAGCAGTGCTCGTCGTCTGGCTTTTTCTTAAGCCAAAAAAACCAAAGTTTTTTAACTATATTAAAATATAATATAGTTGTGACATTTAAAATCAAAAAACAAAGAAGTCCAAATTGAATGGCAGTACGAGGGTTCGAAGCAGGATCGCGTGGGCTGTAGAAAAGCGCGCTCCCGAGTGCGCCACGGCGAAATGCCTCAACTCCCAAAATATCTGGCCAGGAAAACCCGCGTTAGAGCCAAATGGCGGGTTTTTCTGACTAGATATTTTGGATATTTTTTTAGCCAGTTGTTTTCTTTGATGTAGCGCAGTCGGGCGCGCACTTGGCCGAGGCCAACACAATCCGGGTTCGAACCCCCACAGTACTACTTATTTTTTTCTTTAATTTTTATTTTAAATAGCACAACTATATTATATTTTCAGATTTTTAAAAAAAACTTATCTGGTATACATATAAGTCGTTTATTTGTCAAATGGCTTACGGAGAGAAGTCCCAAGGTCGGAACTGCGGTCCAACCGCAAGAATTGACCACCCACGACCAGAGATTCACCGTGGCACGCAAATTTGGCTCATCGTAAGCTCTAAGAGTGTTTTGAGCGTAAAAGCTGGGTTGAGAAACGGTTTCTTTTTGTTTATTATTAAACATATAGACACTTTTGACTCACTTTCCCTGATTATCCGCATCAACGGTGACAACAATGGGCTCCGTCAAACGAATCGGGTATTCCTCTTTGCCTAAATGGAATATTCACTTCGTTGTTTTGTTTTTTTCCCTTAATTACCATTCAGATCTGTAATTTTAGCTGAATAGTATTGTACCGGACCGCCACACGAAGACCACCAACTAAACTTTTCGATGTAAACGAAAATCAGATACGAAACTAGATATGAAAGTGTTTTACAAAATCAAAACCAACGTATAAGCTTTTTCGGTTCCATTTGGCCATGCATCGCAGGCAAAAGCCACAGAAACGAAGGTCAAAAAGAGGATTCCTTTCATTTTACTATGTTCGCAGAAAAGAAAATATGTCAAACTTTCTTATCAACAAATCGAAAGGATTCCTGAAAAAATTTTTTTAAGGCTTCTTATCACAAAAGCGAACCTCTTTGCGCGTCAACGTGCTGGCAATTTTTGATCAGCACCTTTTTCTGATAAATTCATGTGCAAAGGTCAAAGCTAAATATAATGAAATATGACTTGCATTGTCTTTAAATGAAATAAACTTTAAATGTGTTTCTCTCAAGTAACACCTTTTTTTAAAATGCACTTATTTGAGAAAAGAAAAGTAGTAGTTAAACCGTTAGTTTTCATCAGATCAGCCCATTGACTGAGCTTTGTGATTCTTCATCGAATGGTACCAAAAATTGAGGTGATCAGATGTAAGCTAGCGGTTTAACTACAATAGTTTTCTCAAATAGATGCATTTTAGAAAGCGCTTTACTCGAGAGGAAACGTTGGTTAAAACGAAATGTGATTTAAAGTGCATAACGTGATTTGTGAAAGATTTATTCGGGAATTTTCCAATCAATGAACTTTAGTGTAGGTTCGCGCTTGTGCAATCACACCTAAAACTTTCTTTTGCACTTTTCGAACGCAATTTTTCTATGTACATGTTTTGTCTTTCGTTTTGTTATCGTTGAGGACCATTTCGAGTTGATACGGAGAGTCATCTTTCAACAATTTGATGATCGACTAAATTTGGCTTACAGATCGGCTTATTTTTGACAGATTTTTGGTGTTAATTTCGATTTCAGATACCCACATCATATCCAGTGAAATCCATTGTGATGGGAAGAGTTTGACGACCGGTTTTCACTAAAAACACACTTGTTATATATTAAGAATAATTGTTTCACCCAATAATATTTATAGATTAGACAAACAAATACATCATCTTATGTGTTAAGATTGACAAGAAAAAGACCAACCTGGGCAAGGAACGCCGTTGGTGCAAGCATCGAGGTTCTGAAAATGCGGTGGCTTTTTGCACAACTCGCCATAACTCGCCATAACGGCCAATCTTTATGATTTCGATGTCATTTTGTTGCAATTGTTAAGATCTACAAAATGATACCAAAAGCATAAAGATTCATCCATTTAGAAGAAAGTTATGGTGAGTTGCGCGAAAAATTTGGCGCAAACTACCCCCTCTGGAAATCACATTCAATTTTTGGCTTTAATAAGCACTATTCACATTTTAAACGTGCAGATTGATGTTATTTGCCTAGAAAAAAGTTCTCGCTGATTAAAATTTACGCTAAGAAGTCCCAGTGTTGGCACAGTTGACCATTGACATGCTCCAAGTCCTCCCCACGACCACAAATTGATCGTTTGCTTCAAGTTTGGCGACTCATAGACATTTTTTGGGTTGTTGATATCGGTGATGATCACCAAGGGTTTTGTAAGAGTGATCGGGTATTCGGCTTTTCCTGAAATTTATCCCGCAAATGATCTTTCATTGGGTTGATTGCCTGATTGATCTTGGGTTGAGAGTGAGTAAAATGTGATCGCTCCCGCGCAAGATGGGAACCAAGTCAACGCCTTATCGGTTCCGTTTGGCCACTAGAAATATAAAAGAGATTTTCGCCAAAAAAAATTAGAAACAAACCACCGTATCACACGAGAAAGCTACAGCCGTCAAAGCAGACAACAAAATGACTCTTGAAAGCATTTCTCTTTTTAGCAAGTCGATCAAGTGATTGCAAAGTAAAAATGAGGTGCATTTCTTGCGTTTGTGAAAACGGATTTATACGCAACTCTTATCTGAAAGGCTTAACGTTTGAAAGAAGCGGTGCAGAGAAACGAAAGAAGATCCGGACCACTCGTTCGTACTGACCCTTCTTCTCTTCATTTATTAGTCTTTGACACGTGGACAGAAATCACATACTGTACATATACATAATTAGAATAAATAATGTTAATAAGAATGCTAAAAAGAATGTTAAAAAAATAAATAATCTTAAAAGCATGTTAAAAATTTTCGAGAAAGAAACTTTTTGGGGAACATTTTGTGTTGTTTTTAAAGCAAAGTTTTTTGTCGAATCGCTACCGCTTTCCTCCTCTATAATATGAAAGAAATTCTATTTTTATTCAAGTCTTTTAAGTATATTTGAATAGGAAACTATAGTCTGTTTCTTTTAGCAACCCAAGAATGTCAGAATTGTTTTTTTGATGACGTTTTTCGAGTTTAAGTTGAATTGACATCAAAATCTCTTCCTCTACCCGATGGAATCGTTTCTGGCATTTACTTCTTTGTCACTTTCAATCCTGAGCTTTACCCAAAGCCGCGATTTTCCTAAAAATTACCGTATCTTCTCTAATAGTAGTGCACCCCGGCGAGTCGAGTTGATGACTATTTTACGGTTTCCAAGCTTTTGCAGAAGCTCAACACTCTACTCCCTACATAGATCTCATCAGCTACATTTTCCGACCCCACATCGATAGGTTCTGATCAGCGGTTGTCGAGATTTCTAGGAATTTAGTCGAAGCGGTGCACTACTATTAGAAAAGTCTAAAGTTTGTCTGTTTTTTGGGAAAAAGGTCACCGTATTTTTCATAGTCGAGCCGAGTTCATGCCTATTTAACAGTTTCCAAGTTTTCCCAGAAGCTCAACACTCTAATCGCCCACTAGATCTCATCGTCAGCTACATTTTTCGACCTCACATTGATAGGTTCTGATAAGCGGTTCTCGAGATTTCGAGGAATTTAGGCGACGCTCAGGGTGCACTACTATTAGAGAAAATACGGTAACTATCTACCGTAAACAAATTTCTTCCACTTCTAAAAGATTAACTGAATGGGATTGATTTCTCTGTCTTTGTTAGCTCAGTTTCTTTCGATTAAACCTGCAAACGAACATGTTTTGCTAAAATTAATAACCAAATATTACAATCAGATCCGTTATTTTTGTAATATTTGAAGTTGAATTTAAAGTTGTTGGTGGATAAAGTTTCAAACGATTGTGAATTTGCTATCTGAATGACTCAACAGATGGTGGGATATTGTTATCCATCGAAGCTTGCTCCACTTTCACGTTTTCACTGCAGTCTTTGCTTGTTGTCTTTTGTCTGACCTAAAAAGACTAACAAAAAAAAGTTTTTATTTTTTAGTAGAGCTTCTTCTGTTCACCATTCTCATAAGTTTTCTTATTTCATCACCCCTTTTCACCAAATTATCGATCAGCACTTTCATTTCCTCTTGATTTTCTTTTTTCTTGTCTAAATGAAACTCTTCCGCTAATTTTTCGACGGTCAATTTGTCGTATTCATCAAGTTTATCAGAACTTCAATGTTCCACATGTCTAGAAGCAAATTTATAAATCATTTTTTCAGGAGCTAAATGCAAATCTTTGCTTGAAATCCGTGGGAAGTCCGATTGCAAAAACTCGTGCTTTTTTGTTTTACTTTCGAGGAAACTTCTTACCGATTGATTTGGGAAAAGGTAAAGGTTTTTAAAACAGTGATTTCATTAACAAATAACTTCTTTTCTTTTGGCTCATTCGTTTCCTCTTGCTTTAGATTAAAACCTTTGTAGTTATTGAATGAACTTTTGAGTTATGTGCTTTATTGTTATTGTATTTCAAAAAAACCAACATTGGATTATAAAAAGTTGTTTGATTCCCAAACAGTATAAATAACTGTCTAACTGTCAAACTGTCAAACTTTCTCTTATTAGTTTTTCTAAAAATGCAATCGCTAAATGAAGAATTGTATCTAAAAATTTGACCTTTCCTGTTTGTGATTCGATTGCTTTTCGAAGCAAGACAACTTCAACTGAAAACAAAGTTTAAGCCAACAATCTCATCATTTAAATCTTCATCACTTGTCACTTTCAGTTTGTGGACTAAAGAAATGTAGATAATATTTTGATATGAAGCAAAAGCAACATGTTCATTTTATTAGGTTGTCCGGAAATAAATGAGCGTTTTGTATTGTTTATTATTGATAATATATAACAATTCAGCTTGTTGTCCAGTCGGACAACAATTGATCTCAGTGAGTGAATAGTTTCTTTTTTCAATATGTGATCACCGGAAACTCACAAATATATATTTTTTTTAATATAATAAAAATATTCAGTGATACCTTCTGGGATGCCCATTTTCTCGCATCATCGCATCATCACTTACATTCAAACTTACACTTACATTTCCAGCGCTTTCCAGCGACGATTCCAGCACTGACGCACTAATTTACTATTAAAAAACAAAAAAACGGTGATTAGATTACCATTATGTCATCATTAAAGTAGTTTTTCCGATGAATCTTTTTATATATAGATACTTTATTCAGGACCTGAGATAAAGTGCGCTAGATTTAAGATTAAAATACATGAATTCATACACAGCACGAAAAGGGCCGATAAAAAGAAACACGATATAATATATGTAAAATGTGGGTAGCACAGATAACGTCAAGGATCCACTAGAGCTTCAAGATCAAGATCATCTACAGATAATTTAAAGGTTTCGAGACTATTGGACTCTCTCAAAACTCTGGGGAGTCGATTCCAAATTCTGGCAGTTCTTATTGGAAAAGAGTTATTAGGTTGGCAACTTAATAATGACGCGTCACTACTTAACATGTTTTTTGTAATTTTAAGCGCGATTTCTTCCCTCTTTTTTGCATAGATACAAACTAAAAGATGTCTGCCTAAAAAACATTTAGCGCTCCAATTTCATCATTCGCTTTTTGGCAAAAAAATGGAGGACAAAAAATTCCGTATTCGAGCTGCATTGTTCTACGATTTTAAACAAGGAAAATCACCAGCTGAATCTCATCGCACGATCATCACTGTTTTTGGAGAGGAAAGTATACACATTCGGCAATGTCAACGATGGTTTCAAAGATTCCAAGGCGGCGGTGAAAGCCTCGTAGACGAGCCACACCAAGGACATCCTCCAGAAGTGGTCAACGATGACTTGCTCGCCTTAATTGAAAATTGCCCAACACTCACCGTTCGCGAGTTGGCAAAAATATTTGAAGTATCCCATACGACAATCGAAAACTATTTACACAAACTTGGGAAAAAGAATCGTATTGGGAAATGAGTTCCTCACGAATTGATCCAAATCAACAAAATGGCCCTTGTCAATGTCGCCTCAATTGTGCAACAAAAATGTAAATCAAACGACTTTTTCACAGGGTTTTGACTTCTGACGAAACGTGGATCAACTACGAGAAAGTTAAACGCAAAAATCAATGGCTATCAGACCCCTCAAACCACTCCCAAACCTGATATCCATGGGAAGGAGATAATGCTCTGTTACTGGTGGAACTTCAAGGGATTGGTGCATTATGAAGTGCTGAAACCTGGCCAAACCGTCGATGCTGATCTTTATTCGAAGCAATTAATGAGAGTTAACGAGTCTTTGAAGAAATTGGGGCTCAAACCGGAGAGAGTCAGATTTTTACACGACAACGCAAAACCTCACACTGCAAAGATCACTTATAAGAAAATCGAGGAACTTGGCTGGAAAGTTTTGCCCCACGCGCCTCATTCACCTGATCTGGCTCCTTCAGATTACTTTTTGTTTTGGTCGCTGAAGAACTTTTTGGAGGGAGAAAAGTTCGATGATCATGCTCGGGTCATAAAAGCAGTGAATGACTACTTCGCCTTAAAAACTCCCAAGTTCTTCGAGGATGAGATCCGGGATTTGCGCAGAAGATGGGAAGAAGTCATAGATACTAATGGAGAATACCTTTCGAATTGGAAACCCTTCTTTTGTGTTTTTTTAAAATAAATGATTTGTTACATAAACGCGTCATTATTAAGTTGCCAACCTAATATAAACAAACTTATTGGAGGTGACTGGAATTTCTAAAACGAAAGAAGCTCCGAAAGAACCTTTTGAAAAAAAAAAAGACTTTTTCTTCACGCATAGAAAAAAAGAAAATGAGAAATGAGATCTGTTATTGGGAATCAACTTTTTGCAATCATACTACTAGTAAAGTGAATTTATGATTTAAATTGATATTACATTTAATGTTTTTCTAACAATAAGCAATTCGATTACACAAAACTTGGCAATTAGCAATTGACAATTGAATCAATGGTGAGTAATTGTCGAATTCATGAATGGCAGAACTTTTTAAGTTCTCAAAATTAGAATTCTTTATATAATTGATCATGTATTGTTTATATTTTTCTTCTTAATACCGTTTTCTTTTTCGTAGGCAATCCATTTTGAATCCCTTTCCTACTATGATGAATATTTTTTGATCAATCAAATTCTCTTTGACTCTTTCCCCTTCCTCTCTTTCTTATACATATCTAGATCAAAGATCTTCACCTCAAACAAGACTATATCGTTTTGTTCTCTTTCAGTAAACGAGCCACCTGACAGGTTTTATCGGTCTCAACGCGATTTCCCTTCGAAAAGCGTTTCAATTCTTACTGTATCTCTCGTGCCGTTGTGTGAAAACAGCTCGCGCCAACAGATTCGTTTGAAAAATTGGCGGCTCGGCAAAAAATTCAACAGGTCAGTTACTTTTTATACAAAAATTTTCCAAAAACTAGTGGGAAATAAACGATGAATTAATGAGATTTTGAGAAACGAATCTAAAAAAGCGAAATGTTAACTGTAAACCTACTAAAATATCATCAAAATTTTAGAAAACTTTGAAGAAGTTTATTGGAAAAAAAAAGACTGGCAATGTATGGACATCCGTC